ACATCTAAGTACTTGGCATATATCTAGGCATCTATGTTCTAGATAATTACTGTACTCCATTCTAAGCACTGAGATGCACAGTTTTACACTGTGTTTATTGGGAATTGTCAGCAGAAATAATTCGCTTAAAGATTTCTGATAGGATTAAGAAGTCAACCGTCACACATTTATTTATTATATTGATTTAAACTTATCTAGATCGACCATGGACCATATATTTTTTGCTTTTTCCCTATTAATTAAAAAAATGTAATTAGTCTGTTTAGTTCAGATAAAAACATCACCCAAGGACATTTTGTCCTCAAACATAATCTATTTATTATTTTAACTTTTTAAATACAAAACGTCAAAATTGAGATCATTTTGTTCAATCTTTCGCTATCAAAAACAACAAGTTGAAAGAAAACGACTGCCGTCATTACGAATCCCTATATACACGGTCGTCAGTTAGGACAGCTACTGTAGCAAAAAATCATTATACAGCACATTATTATTATAGGATATAAAATAAGGAATACTTTATATTTTTAATAAGTTACCACCAGAACACACAACAGGACAGTGTAGAAAAAAGGTAATGTGTTTAAATTTTATTGATTTTCATGTCAACTACCCCTTGGGTGAACCTAATACTGTATATTTACCATTCTATAATGCCGCTTAATTAGCATTAAAATGTTATTTTCATGGAAAACATCAAAAACCCATTTCATTTTAAATGAAGTGATTTGTTGCGTATCTCCGTTACTTGCTACTACTGTATGTTAATCTGGAATGAACTCTACCATCTGGTAAAGGATGCTGCAAATTTTTAATGCGACACAATATTAGCTTGAAAATTCATGTTTTTATCAATTCATTGCATAGAGTATAAATACACTATCAGACTCAGTGAATGATGGCCAAAAAACCATTCTAAAAATATCTACCATTTTTTTCTGAAGCTGTAGATTACCACAGTGACTGCTTTCCAATGATACCTACTGTAGGTGACAGCATTCGTGTTTTTGAACTAATTATTGACTGAAATATGTTTGTTAGACAGAATACAGTAGGAGAGTATAATAGGTTTGAGTACAGTAGTTTAATTTTTAAATTCAATTATCTTAATCTTATCTATTATGTTATTACTGTTTAATAAAATCATTATGATTAGTGGGGATGGTCATAAATATGCTGAAGACAGTGATACACTGTAGAGAGTTAGGAAAATTATTTATAATATTTTGGGATGTGGATTCGAAACTGTTCATAATAATGGTCAAATAATGAGATTCCATTGTGTGAGCACATAATAATAATAATAATAATAATAATAATAATAATAATAACAATAATATTAATGATAATAACGTTAATAATAATAATATTAGTAATAATAATAATATTAATAATAATAATGATAATAACATTAATAATAATAATAATATTAATAATAATAATATTAATAATAATAATAATATTAATAATAATAATAATATTAATAATAATAATAATAATAATGTTTGACATACTGTAGAGTGCATATTGTGGACACTTCTATGTGCAAACATTATTACCTTGGTCATTGGATCTTGAGCATATACTGTATGAAACACATACTCAGCTCCTGGGGAGAATTCCATAATGTTTGCAGCGATAATCAGTATTTTTTGGGGTTTGAACCTCCAGGTACCCACCGCTTGTACTCCTACTACCTAGGTAGAGAGAGACAACCGTAAGTAAAGTGGCTTGTACACGAACACAGCGAAATGCACAGCGAGGGATTGAACCTCTGACCGCAAGGTCGAGAAGCAAAACCGCATCCGCTGCGCCATACCATTCCTAAGTATCATATTGAGACACATGATAAATGATTGATTTGTAAATCAAATACAGTGCCAGAAATTAATAGAGACATTTATGTGAAAATTCGTCAACAGAACAGGAAGTATCATAAATGCCAATTTGATGTATAAATTTAGTTCTATGCTAGAGAATTTAACTGCATGTATAATTAAGTACTGTACAGTTAGAATTATATTTATAGTTTACAGTAGGCCTACTCTAGTACTACTGTTAAATCATGCCTCCATGGTTAAATACATTGAACGTTTATTGACAGTGACATTAGCTGGTACTGTAGTAGAGAATGATTTATTCCCAATTACTATAATTAAATTTAAATTGTATTCCAGTATATCTCTCTTGTTTATATGCTGTAGTTTAAAAAGAATATCGGTTTATAGATTATTTTAATGTTAGGGATTGTTTTTTAATGCAAGCACTCAGCCAAATTAGTAAGCGTCTACTGCACAATATGCAAATGATAGGAAGTTATATTCCGTTAAGAATATTGATTGGCCTGGAAATCTTTTCCTTTATAATTTAAGCACCTAGTCCTGTCATAAAATTAGTATTTCAACTTTTAGCTCATCCAATATTTAATTTTATTTTTTTTCATAAAAAATCATTTACATTAATTGTATTGTATAATGAGGTCATGCTTTATATCACCATAGTAACATCAGGTAGGTGAAATTTAAATAAAGAATTAATGTGAGGCATGCTTTGTGTTGTTTCTTTTACTTCAGTTGTGACAGGAATAAATCAAGCATTGACGATTCTCTATTTATCTGTTGTCAGGGATTCAATTTAGCAATTCATTAGGAAGGTACTTTGATGATGAGATTAAAGTGGTAATTCCATTAACATTATAGACTGTACCCACTGTTGTAAGTCTTCCCTGATGACACACTGCTAGTTGTATTCTGTTGATTTGGTTTTCCTTAGGGATGTCAATTGTGTGCCGTGTTGATCACCAACAGTCACCAACATTTTGTTTTATTTCAACAAACAATACTGTAAAATATTCCTCAAAAAAGAAATACCAATATTGAGGATCTACACTAGAAGAAAGCAGTTTCTTGTAAGACACATACAGAAATGCACAATAAAAAGAAAAAGTGATACAGGATTAAGTAAAACCTAATATTAACATAAAGACAAAAATACAGTCTCTTGTTAGAATTAACATCCTTGCAGATGTTTATGGTGTTGCCAATTTTTGCTACTTCCTCCTGTCTCATAGAGTATTTTCCTGAATATCAGATATCTTAGCTGCTTTTTCTATTCCTTGACTTATATACTAAATTTCCTACTGTATCCTATATCCTCAGATGTTGAAATTTGGTTGCTTCTGCTTCTCCCAGTTTCATGTGGAGAGTAGTGACGTATGTAGGGGATCCGCGAAATGTTGCTCATTCCCAGTCATATCCCACACTCAAGTAGTTAAGTATCATCTTATGCGAGGTAGTGTGCCTCCCTTTCCCACGTTCATCTTTGCACCCTATCAAGGGCCCCCCCCCCACCATTTTAAGTTAGCTTCTTTTATAGCATATTGAAGATTTTGCAGAAGCTTCCTTCAACTGTCAATAGAGTGCTTTCGATTTCTTCGACGACGCAATGCTAGATCAAAATCACTCATGCGTGATTGTCCTACCAGGCGTCCCACGTTCTCTGCATACAGTACGTTGATTTGGCCGAATTGTCTTAGAATCCACGTGATGAGAACTTAACTTTCTCCCATGCGCAGAAGACTTTAAGTGATGTCCTTACATTCTACATGCTACCGTCGTTGTGCAATAGCCTGATATCAACTACTGGTAACATCTATACTGTAGTACTAGATGAGACAATGAATGATTATTGTTTGAGAACATTTTTCAAATATATTGGAATTTTAAAATTGGAAATCACTAGATGTGTTACTATGGCAATGGCTTTACCTGAAGAAGCTGAAATGCCTTTTTTAAACAGATGTTCGGTTCTAGAACCAGGAAAGGATTATTTGTCTGAAGTGTCTTGATTATATTTTGAACAAACAACCAAATTAGTTATATATAGTCCTTGAATGTATTTAAAAGATAAAAGTTAAGACATGGATGTTGTACTGTACTTGTGTAAATTGACTTTTTATCAAAGTGTGTTAATATAGTATATACAGTACCTTATGAATAATAACTTCTATTCAGCTTGTCTTTAACTATGAAGACCACAATCTAATTTGCATAATTGTGATATTAATCATTTAACCTCATTTTGTATGCCCTTGGGATTAACATGATTATCATGACAAAAGAAAGTATTTTGATGTGTTTTTTGTTCTGCAGCTATTATTACTAATATCTCTAGCAATTTTTAATATACAAGTGCTGTTAACAAGAAGTTGTAAATTTATGTATTTTAATACACAAGACAATTATTTTTAATAATGTTTGGAGAAAGTTGTAAAATTTCATTTTTAAATTATCACACATCTATGATTGCTTTCTATTTTGGTATATTTTTATTTTTTTTGTCGACAAAAGCTAGACTAGTTGGCTAGATTATTATAATAATGAATCCGCTAACCTCATACAGTATTCTTGTTGCTGGCGAGCAAAGATCTTACAATTTATAACAAGATAGCGTTTTCTGTGGTTTACTGTACGTGTAGCAAAATAGAAGCGTCCTTTCACGCAGAAAGCAATAGAAAGTAATTGTAATTGAGAGAGGGCATCCTAGTTGTTATCATGGTTGTTGTTCCTGAATTTGCACGAAGATTAAAAGATGTCAAAGTTGTAAAGTAATTGTAATTGCAAGAGTGCGCCCTATACTGTGTCGTTAACAGAATTTGCACGCAGAATTCGCAGAGAACACTATCTTGTTGTAAGATTTTTCCTAGCGAGTCAGATAGGCTTGACTTAAGCTGAGCACTCACGGCACGTGATGGTCATCGGCTGACAAGATTCTATGGGGAACTCAATGCTATGACAGATCGTTTTTAATGACGATCCGTTTAGACTGCCACTGACAATCGGCAGATGGCGTCACATCGTCTACCACTCGTAAGTAGCGGAGTTGGATTTGACTGCCTTACGACGCAGTGATTGCACAGCTTCAGTTAAATTTGTAGTTTTATCACTGTTTTGTCCAAATCGACCAAATATAAATAGTTGTATCTTTTCTTTTACCCCCAGCTTGTTGGAGGCGAATTTGACCTTGAGTGTTCTTTTATCATTGATGACCCTGAAAATGTCAATCATCTACTCGAGCTCATGGGCCACTGTCAAGTCACATTACAGGTAAGATATCCTTATACACAAGTGAACACATCATTTAGACACATGTAAACACATGTGGTTACATATGGACATGTTAGGGAGAGCAGCTCAGTGGTAGCATCAGAGATTTGCTGAGAAGGGATTCAAGGCCCATAATGGGGTCCACGGTCCCCGACCAAAAGTCCGACACCCAATGGATTTTATTGTGCCATCTTGTCAAGTGACAATAACGAAGAACAAAGAATAAGGTGGCTGACAGGGAGACAACACCTACAGTACCTCAATCAACCATGTTTTAAGCAATTTTGAGTATGAAATGGCACTCTTGGACTGTAACTATTAAAAGTGCTTCTTCAAAGCAATGTTTGAGTATGTTATTCAAATTATATAATGTATGTTTTTATTTCCTCTTCTAGGCTGAGATATGGAGTATGTTTTGTGGCATTGTTCGTCGAAGCGTGTTAAATTTACAAGCCTGTACGAGCGTTGGTTTGATTGAGAAACTGTTAAACCGTTTACCCCACTCAGAGGAAATTATATCAGGTAAAGGTCATGTCACAGGTCATGTGGCAATTCATGTGACATTGTTCATATGTTTTTTCTTAAACTTCGGTTTTAAATGTACAAGCTTAAGGTATTTAATTATATATAATTATGCTGCTTATTCAGGTAAATATAGGTGATATCCACACATTGTACGGCCGTACAGCGTACAGTATACAGTACATGCAAAGTCAAAACTACTATTCAACTATATATAATTGTTTTTATTATCATACTTGCGTAAATAAGACGAGGCCATAAATAGCAAATTAAGATATGAAACAGTAGGTCATCTAATACGCCTGACATACAAAAACCTTCTCAATCTTGGGGGTCGTCTTATAAGCGGGTTGCCTACTTAAGTATATCAGGCATGTGTATGAAATCATATTCGTCTTATGTGCGGATCATTTGAACTTGCAAATTTGATTACTGCAATGAACCTACTTAATGAACGCAATTTTTTAAATACTGGGAAGCAAGATTTTGATTAAACATTTAAAAGTCCATGAAATGGTATTATTCTGAAGATTAGGCCTACATTTGGCTCTGTTTCTTGCCTGTTAGATGCAGTATGGAGATCATAAAGAGCAGTAAAATGTATGAATTCATTTTATGAGTAAAATAGGGAGTTGGGGTCGTCTTATACAAAACCTTCTCAAACTTTGGGGTTGTCTTATACGTGGGTCGCCTTATACGCGAGTATATGGTATGTGTATGAATGGAAATAATGATAATAATAAATACAGTTAAACGTTGCCTGTAAGTCAAATTTGCCTAACTCGCATAATTTCTAAGACAAACTTATTTTACATGCCAAATTGTTGTATTTTCCGTCTAATTAACGTTCTGTAAATTTTAAGTTTTTCAATAGCATTTTGGATTTGACTTAGGCAAGTTCAACTGGGAATAAGAAAAAAATGTATTAATAAAATCATGAAAATTCTAAAATAAAAGTTAATCTGTGTATGCTTTTCATGATAAATATTAAGAAATTAATAGAACAATAGAATTAATTCACAATATTTTTTTCAATAAATAAAAATTAAAATCAATTGTCTTTTGTGATGAATAATGCCTAGTTTATTTTTAATGGTACACTCTTAAAATTGATGACCTGTGTCAGATTCCATTTTGCTGTGGAATGTTAACTATGTTTTTTAAACAGAAAAACATCAATTACAGCATTTTGCTGCACGAAAAGGCCCTCAAAAATGTGTACATAATAAATGTGTTCTGAAAATGCATGTGAAAACATGCATATTATAAGGTTGCCTTGCTGTTAATCTGAGTTATTTTATCTTGATTCTGCTGTGATACTAAATGTAATTAATGTTTTTTTTTATTAACTACTTTCAATAACAGCCTGTGACCTGGTGTACTGGTAATTTCTGTAAGAAACGAAGCATAATGTCAACAGCTATATTGTTTTTTTTTTATTTGAATAAAAAAAAAACATGTGCATGCCTAAATATGGTCATAATGATATCACATCATGACCATACAGTATATAGGCACATCATGACTATATATATGGGCACATCATGACTAATGGGCACATCATGACCATATATAGGCACATCATGACTATATATGGGCACATCATGACCATATATAGGCACATCATGACCATATATAGGCACATCATGACTATATATAGGCACATCATGACTATATATAGGTACATCATGACCATATATAGGCACATCATGACTATATATGGGCATACAACAGTTTTTTGTCAAAAATTTAATAGTGTTTACAGAGCTTCAGAAGCCAATCAAAATACCGTAAAACTTTGAATAGAAGCTCAGTGGGTTTAATCTCAAGAAGAAGCACCTCAAATTGAAGTCCTCTTTTTAGTTTGTAAAAGTAGCCTAGCATGGACCTCTTTTCAAGATAGTACAGTACATATGCTGTACATGAATTAAAAAAAAAAGTTAAAAACAGGCTTGGTTTATAGGCCTGAAGTAGTTTAAGTGATTTAATGCTGGTTCACTTCATGATATGGACTCATGTTGCAGTTGCCCTATTTATTTATTGTTTTTAAGTAGTAATTACCAAAATTTACAGCATTCATTTTGAAAAGAAGAAGCCCAAGGCCGGTATGATAATAGTTTATGAGAGAACTGTATTAAGAAAGTGAGCTTAATGTCAATATCCATATTATTTATTTATAAGCTAATCAAAATATGATGAGAGTTGATGCTTTTTTATTAGCATGGTTTTAATTTTTAATTTTGTTTTTTTATTTCCGCAGAATTACTTGTAGAGATTATAGGCGTACTTGCAAATTATAGCATATCGGTAAAAGAACTAAAGATACTCTTCAAAAGCCTCAAAGGGGACGATGGACAATGGGTAAAGTAAAATTACTTTTTTATATATACTGTATGCTTTATATTTGCATAGTAAGTATACTGTAATTAATAATAATAATAATAATAATTAAAGTATCAACCAGTTTCATGTACAGTTTCTAACTGTACATGAAGAACAATTAAGACAAGTAGAACAAAGAACTAGATTGTATATTAACTATACTGCAAAACTAATTCTCACGATTTATTAGAGTATTATGTATTGTTTTATTAATAAGAATTATTGATATTCTGTTATTTTTATTGAACTTATTATTTATTAAATTACCAAGGAAAATATATCCTCAGAATTATTGTATTATATGTTAAACACACTCTTTTTCTATTATCCAATCATAGCAGTTATTGGATAGAGATCAGGATGTTGAATTTTTTACAGCCTGTTAAATGAATACAGGCTAAAATAATCTCATAAACACATAGGTTGACAACATAACAGTAGCATGTGCTACAAGAATCCGCACTCTTTTTCTATTATCCAATCATAGCAGTTATTGGATAGAGATCAGGATGTTGAATTTTTTACAGCCTGTTAAATGAATACAGGCTAAAATAATCTCATAAACACATAGGTTGACAACATACAGTAGCATGTGCTACAACAATCCGCACTCTTTTTCTATTATCCAATCATAGCAGTTATTGGATAGAGATCAGGATGTTGAATTTTTTATAGCCTGATGGATGAATACAGGCTAAAATAATCTCATAAACACATAGGTTGACAACATAACAGTAGCATGTGCTACAACAATCCACACTCTTTTTCTATTATCCAATCATAGCCAGTTATTAGATAGAGATCAGGATGTTGAATTTTCTACAGCCTGATGGATGAATACAGGCTAAAATAATCTCATAAACACATAGGTTGACAACATAACAGTAGCATGTGCTACAAGAATCCCACAATGCTGTTGATCCACATGATCAAGCTGAGAGTTGTTACAAGCTTACTAACACATATCAGGATTCACTAACAGTCTCTAATGTATAATTTGCTTTAATGAGCACATATTGTGGCACTGTTTTTATGTTGTTATGTGCAATATATGTGTAAAGAATATTAAATGTCTATCTGGATGAAATTCGGATTTGACAAGGAGACACTTTGACATTCACAGTACACAGTGTTTTGATGTATTAACTAATGTTTTGACATTGTTTACAAACTGTATAATTGTTGAATTTAAACATTCTGTAAACTATAGGTTATGACCTTATGTTTGGGGATTGTAAACAAATTTTGTCCCATATTCATTTCAGATGGACGAGATGGCAAAAAAAAAATCAGCATATTTATTAAATTCAATTGTACTTAAAAATTCTACATATCATGGTCCGGAGGCCAAATTGCATGTAAATTATAAGTTAAAATAGAACATAGAAACACTGGACATAGAAACATATAAAAATGTAATATATATAGAGACATCAGAAATGTGATACACTAAACTTAGAAGAGACAAACAAGAATAAACAAACCCAAATAACTCGGACCATTAAACAATATGCAGATCGATATATCATTAAAAAATAACAATTTGAACAACATCAAATAGTTAACAGTATAAAAAAGCAAATTGTAAAATGGAATTATTAATTAATATTGTTTAAGTATTATTATTATTATTATTATTATTATTATTATTATTATTATTATTATTGTTATTATTATTTATTATTATTAATATCAAATTTAGAATTTACAGTACAACCACATATTTTAGACTTAAATATTCATGCTTCCAAATAATTAATATTAAGCAGATCAATATCATTGCAAATGACATGAACAACAACAGTTAAAAGTATTAAAAAAAAGCATTGTAAAACAGAATTATTAATTATTATTGTTTAAGTACTATTATTATCATTATTATTGTTATTATTATTATTATTATTATTATTATTGTTATTATTATTATTATTATTATCAAATTCAGAATTTACAACCAACATATTTAGACTTAAATATGCATGCTTCCAAGCCAATTAAAATTAAGTGCATATGCAGTGCATACAGATAATGATAGGCATGCATCACGTGGTCGTCGGTATACTTTGGGAAATGATTCTGGTTTATTCAATAATTAATATTTTTTGTTTGGTGTTGATGCTTATTAAAAAGCAGCACTTATTTGAGAGGCTGTATAATTATATTTAAACAAGTGTGTTCTATTATTGAATTTATTCAATAATTGTCAGTTGCGCTATTATTTATATTCAAACAATTAAATTTATTCTTTATATTTTATATTGTATAGCCAAAATATTCAACCAAGTTGTTACAAGTACTGCGACAAATGCCTTGTAGACATGGACCCGATGTTTTCTTCAACTTTCCTGGTACTGTCGGATCAGTAAGTAAATTTGTGTTTTCGTGAGCAAATTTGTTGTATTATTCTGCTTACCTACTCTTCTTATTTCACACCAAAACATTCAAAAGTGTTTCTTTTTAACAAATCATTTATGTATTTTAAAAGCTACAATAAGGCCAAAGTAAAAGAAAAAGTAGTTTCTTGTCCTGATATTTTGAAAAAAGGAGAATGGGGGCGCTTTAAATTTTTTTTTAAATTCCCAAATTACAAATCCAAGGTGGTCGATGGGAAACAGCTACTACTTTCTCACTTTTACCAAGTAGACACATTGAAAGCAAATAAAAGAAGCACAGACATGATTCATACCATATGTATCCCAAATCACAGATGATCGAGAGAGGAATTTTACTGATATGAATTTTTTGTATATTTCGTAAAATAAAGGAAATAAAAAAGTAAGAAATTAAAAAAAAATTTGGTGAGGCAGAGAAAATGAATCTGCGAGGGTACGAGAAACTAGTAATTTTTTATTAGGCCTAACATACTAACACTGCATCAGCTAATGGTCACTGGCCCTGCTTGACCTGTAGTCTGAGTGGATCGTCTTTCAGAATCTTCATTGCACGATGGTCGTCTGTCATGCAAAGCCTTGGCAAGCATGTTGTGTCCACAGACTATCAACACAGCATGAGCAGTATAACGAGCAGCTTAGCTCAGTCGGCTAAACTGGTGGTAGCCACTGTGCGTGCGCTGAACCGTGGAGATTTTTTGATCCCCGGTTCAATTCCCATCGCCGCTCTCCTTGTGTTTTAGCTGGAAGGCTGAATGCAAGTTACAAAACCATACCATCGTTCGGATGAGACGTTTAAGCTGTTGGTCCCGTGTTTATTGTTGCCCATGCGCACGTTAAAGATCGCAGTATAGGGGATTGTCCCCTGTGTACTGCCCAATCACCACCAGAAGGACCCCACTGGAAATCTTTTACAGATATTTGTGGGTTATCCTCGGTGTTTACACCGAATAAATCCATCCATCTATCCATGAGTCATTTATTAGTTTGTTTATAAAAATGTCCAGCAATTACTTGATTTTTAAAGATAATAATTATACTTTTAATAATAACAATAGGAATTTCAATAACAATAATAATAACAATAGTAATAAAGCAATTATATAAAAAACAGATAACATAATGATAATGTTATGCTATTGCAAAAATGCTAAAACTGTCTGTGATCAAATGTGATTTTAGCAGAGACAGTGTGTAATAAAAGAATTCACATTACGATGCTACTAAAAGCTTTGTTTTCTAGCCAAGCAGCGAGGCAGAAGATATCGACCAATAAACACCGGGTAATCAAAGTCAATAGAGATTTAAAAGCAATTTCTGAAGCTGTACCATCTAAAAAATAATGTCTACGTTAACCATTCCTTTGAAGTATTATATAGCGGTGGTCCCATGAGATGACCCCCATAATTAATTGTGAGCCCATGATTAATTGTTAGCATCATGCATAAGTGTTTTTTTAGACGAGTGGTTCTCAATTGATAAAAAGATATTACTGCAGTAAAACAAGAAAAGATCTTTACTGACATTGTTTTGATTTGAAATGATTCAATCTATGCAGGTTGAAAACAGAATATCCATAACTGCCTTTGTTTAATTGGATATTGTATAGCAACAATTTCATTACACAATTATTTGCCCATGTTTACACTAATATTTACAGTATATTTAAAATATTATTCTGTATCTGTGCATGCTGAAAATAGAAATATTCTTTGATTGGCTAGGTGAGACTTATTTATACCTTTTTTTAGCGAATTCACAGACTGCAAATATTGATGATTTTGAATAAAAATATAATTTTATTTTTGCACAATTAGCACCTGCCATGAAAAAGTGGAAAATCAGAAAGAAAAAAAAAGTTTTTAAAAAATTTTTTATTCCGCCCCTCCTCCCCCCGCTGCCTTGAAATTGCCAAAGATAAAATTTATGTATATTTCTTTCTAATTATAAAAAATTTAAAGCATTTAACCATCTTATTTTACATACTAATAAAATTTTATTTTTAATTTGAGTATTGTTCACTGCTGTATGATGTACAGATAATCAGTTTATGCCAATTCACATGCATATTCATATTTAAATTTACATATTAATTGAATAACAATGTAAGTAATGTGTATACAGACACTTGATTTGTTCTGAACATAAATACGAATGTGATTGATAGGTACAAGTGCGAGCACGTAGATTACAATATATACAAGTAAAGCCGTAGCCTTGATATTACAGTACTGGATGAAATTACCGCAGATTGTTTGAACGTGCTCAGTCAGTTTGTATTGGGTCTACATTGCGTTGAATAGTTTTTGAACTCCAAACACTTTGCTATTTAACTAATTCTTGAGTTCGAGTGATTGACACATATAACTGCAAACATTATGAATAATATGCTGTTACGGTGTAAAGAGGAGAGATGTCTTTGCTAATATTAGAGATTAGGCGAGACTTTTTTATACGGCCAATAATGATTATTTCGAATAAAACTAAAATTTTGTTTTGGCCAATTGCACACCTGTCAACATGAAAAAATAGAAATTAAGGAAAAAAAGTTATTACGCCTACTGCTGCCTTGTAATCTCCAAAGATATGTATATTTCAACCTAAAAATAAATTTAATGCATTTAACCATCTCAATTCTACACTCTCTACATTCATCAATGAAAGTTTTTATTTTCTCCTCCATCTGGATGTTTCTGGCAAAATTATTTGTTAAATAAGAAAATATAATTTTATTTTTATTTTTTTTCCACCCTCTTCTGAGAATCTTGAAAAAATAAGTTCGCGAAACAAGGTATATAAAAAGTCTCTTCTTACCATTATTTTTATTTAAATTTCTTATTTTTTTTTATTCTCATCCAACATTCAATAAGTTGAATCTATAAAAAATTTGAGCTGAAAATAGCTAACTATAAAAAGAATGATTTAATATAATAAAACATTTATTTAATTACTCCAGTAAAATATCCTAAACAAGTTGAATCTATCAAAAATTTGATTTGAAAATAGTAACTGTAAAAGGATTGATTTATTGTAATAAAATATATTTATTTAATTCATCCAGTTAACCATCCAATGCAAACAAGATAGGCGTTCAGTAAATATACAGGCATTCATGCCCAAACAATTATCATATTACATGAAGGATAATTTTACAAATGTTTACTACTGTTACTAGATTCACAGCAGTGTGTCAACTCAGATGATGCTGTTGGGAAATCAAAATCAATAGAAACTCAGATTCATCTAAGAATTTAACTTTTAGTCTAACAGGCTTTATAGCTATATTTTTATATAGCTAACCAAACAAAATATTAGATGGAAAGAGGCAGCATTGATGGGAGGTGTACTAATGATGATGAGGAGGAAATTATATAACGGAAGTGATTACGATAATATAAAGTTCAAGAATTGATCAGGTTGATACATATTTTGGAAAAAAGATATGACATTGAGAACATACCATGTTGATTGCTTGATGAGATATTGAGAAATTAATTGATGGATTGATTGATTGATTGGTTTAATGATTTATTGATTTATATCTTTACTGATACATTGATGTAGCATTTTGTTGTTTTATTGATTTGTAACTTTTATTGAGATAATCATAATTATCAATCAGTCAGATTATTTATTCATCAATTCACCAATAAATTCCATAAAAACAAATAACAATTGCAATAATAATGTAATGATAAAGTTGATAAAATGGACCTCCAAAAGATTCCAGGGAGCTTGTAAATAGGAGGCCCATCAAACTAATAATAATAATTAGTAGTAGTAATAATAATAATAATAATAATAATAATAATTATTATTATTATTATTGTTATTGTTATTATTATTATTATTACATTACTAAAACCTACCTTAGGGGAACTTAAACAATGGAGAAATTAGAGAACAACTAAAAAAAACCACGTTAAGGGGAAAATAACACAAAAGATATTCTCCTCAAGTCCAATTTAGAGAAACTTATTATTGTTATTATTATGTGTTTTTTTTCTCTCGTGACATGACAAACACCACTTTCATCTGTCAGTGCATCAATTACATAATATGATGGCTTACAGTACAGTTATACTGCATTACTACTCAGCTATATTTTGATATTTCACCTTTTTTTTTACTTTATTATAAAAAATATAATAAAGAAAATGCAGTTGAATAACTATATAAATCTTAACAATTTTGCACTCAGATATTTTAAATAAAATTCTTTTTAAAGTAATAATAATAATTATTATTATTATTATAATTTTATTAGTATACTATATTATTTTATTATTATTGTTAAATTAGCAATAATTATCGTTAATACTATAGTAATGTTAGTAAAAATATTATAATAAATATAATATTTATAAAAATTATAATGAATAATAATTATAATAATGGTAATAATTATAATTTTTCTTATATTATAGTAATTTAATACTAAATAATGATTCGCTACTGAATATCAACTAATTTATTTCTCAATTATTCGCCATTTGAGAATGCAATTATTGTAAGCATGTCTTTAGGACAACTTGAGTAGACCCACTGTGATTTTGATTAGAGTTTTGCCGTAGCATTCAGCACATAGTAATTGACATATAAAAGGAAACATAAATATTCCTGCAGTAGTTGTCGTGATTATCAACGCTGTAATAATATTAAAGGGAAATATTTGCAATTGGTTGATGCTATATATAGTTGGTTGTGATAGGTTATTGTAGTACATACTGATATCATCATTAACATATCTTCTTCACATCATCATCAATCATTTTAATTTAATCATTGTAATTAGTATACTTGTTCAATATTATCATGTTATTATCATATAGTAATCTTAATCATCACCAACATCATCATCTTAATCTTCAGGTTAGTTTCCAAGATGTTAACTGGTTTAGTTTTCTCAATGAATATGAGTACTATAAAAATTTTATTTATTATTATTTCATATCAACATCATCATTATTATCATCATAATCATCTTCATTACATTATCATCATAATGAGCAAATTATCATAACCATAAACATCTTTATCACTGTTAGTATAATCATTGTAATCATCAACATCATTTTCATTATCAAATTGTAATAAAAGTTGTTTTCTATAATATAATCATCAATAATAATAATAATAATGTTACATTTTTTTAGCACATAATGCAGAATGCTTGTGTGCGCTTTACATAAAACAAAAAAGTGTATTTAAAAAAATGAAGTAGAACATAAAACTGGCTTAATAAAAATGCAAAATCTTCAAGGGGTCACCATCCAACTCCTCTCCAGCATAATCCTAGACCAAAAACCACATAATCTTAATTCATTATCAACCTCATAATCATTGCGGGGTCATCTTTAAAAATAATAATCAATGATTCATCATCAAATTCATTTCATCAGCATCATCCTATAAATGCTATTATGCAGTGATTAGTTTGTACAGAATATTGATGTGAATAATGTGAAATCAATTACCCAATTCAGTTCTATTAAAGTCTGTTTTGGCAAGAAACAAAAGATATAATTAGGGTTGTCAGGTTTCTGAATTTGTAATAATTATGCAACATTGTTGCCAGGATATGTTCCACTATTGGCACAAATTTAGATGTTAATTTGTATGACAGGTATTAAATACTGATAAACTTTAAATTATCATTTACATTGCGTTTTGAGATATAGTTTCCATACAGCTACAGCTCATTTAAATAGATAATACATTTATACTTAAATTTAAAAATAAATTTCTTCATTTAATGATTTATTTGTTTTATCAATGCATTTCCAAATTCGTATATACAATAATATTTTTTTCAACATTTTTTTCTAAATATTTTATTCGTCTGAATTTGTGAAAAATTCTTCTGAAGCCTTGCAACAATAGTATAATTAATTTTCTTGATATTGAGCAGATGTTCTGCTAGGGAAAAAAATATTAATATTTGAGGTTATTTGTTTACTGAATTGTATATTAGTATTGGTAGCCAGGCCCGTAGCCAAGTTCTTCCAAGTGGGGGGGGGGTTTCTGGGTGTGAGGGGTTTTCTGGGCGTGAGGTCGAACCCCCCCCCGTCCCTTGGATATCGCCTGATAGCAAATAATGTTGCCATAAAATAATAGTTAACCTTATCATATCTTCCATAATTACTGCTAATGACATCGTATCAGTGTTTACACAAAACTTTATGGCTATTTTTAAATCTCATAAGCTGAATACAGATCATAGGAATGATCGCAATTGGGGTTTAAAGAATATATTACAATGGAATTGTATATAGCAAATGTACTTTTAAAGTTATACTGTAGACTGTTATTGTTAAATAATTCACTGGGACGTGTTGTATTATGACTTTGTGACAGTACAATACATGTTTATCTAAGGTTTATAATGTTAAATAGTTTAAATTTCACTCATTCAACACAAGTTTCATTTTATGAATGGTGTGCATGTCTGGATTAGATAGTTACTGTATATTCTGCTTTTATGGGTTTTTCCTGAGTGATTTTGTAACTGTCTGTCTCTGTGTTTATTAGACTATTTGTCTTGGTGTTTATTGGACTGTCTGTGTTTACTGTATGGATTCTGTTTTTTTTTAATGAGATTATCTGCCTCTGCATTTTTATTTATTTATTTATTTATTTTTTACCTATTTATCTATTAATTTTTTTATTTATACTGCATCTCCTTGTAGTACTTGAGTACTGTTTTTCAAAGTGGTACAGTTACAAGCAAACCATCAAAATTGAAGTTTGCTGGTGCATTTCCTATTGAAAAAACAAAGTCGTACTGATTGTTAAATGATAATAAGGATGATATGAAATATCGATTTTAATTTTATTAATTAATGCATTGGACTGTATCAGAATATTTTTGTATTACTACTTTTCTTTTTTTTACATTTCAATTATTCTTGATAAAATCAGTACATTGACATTTGTATAGCCTAGTTTTATTAGCAAATGACCCAAAGGGCAGTATACTACAGTATATTACATGTACATTTCTACTCTCAATTTCTTAATCCTTACAATGAAATATATCAAGAACAATAATGATCGTATGTCTATGAGTATTTATATTCGTAGAAGTAAGGCCCGCTAAAACAAAATTATTAGCTTATCTTATGTAGGCTGAAAAAGTGATGAGGGAGGAAGGTGTTTTGTTTATTTTTTATTTTTCTAAAGCCATATGTCACCTATGGGTTGTTTGCTGGTGCATTTGCTATTCAAAGTAAAATACAAGATTGAGAATAATACAAACAATACCACTATACTATTTACAAAAAAATTGTAAAAAAAATATTTCCAAAAAAACAAATCCAAAATGAATTTTTTTCCAATACCATAGAAGACATGCGAATAGAGTTGATAAGCTAATAATTATTTTTATTGTGCCTAAAGTGGTTGTTTTCTGCTATGCTCTACTATCAACACACATGTACTATAGTTAATAAATATAGGAACTATGTATGTTATATATAAAAATAAAAAGAATATCATTCTGATTAATGATTTTTCTTGTATCCTCAGGCAATTGCGCTACCGCCCATGTCAAAATGGCCGCATCAGAATGGATTTACCTTCACCACCTGGTTTCGTCTCGACCCTGTTAGTAATATTAACGTGGATAGGGATAAGCCTTATCTCTTCTGGTGAGTAATGTCATACCCTTATGATGTCTTTATAGTGTTGGTCTATTGGTCACTGGATATCCCTTAGGTTTATACTGTATCACTGGGTACATGTTTCCCCTGTGTGTGTCTGTCTCCTTCGGTAGTGTATCTATTCCCTGGGTTTGCCTGTCTCCTTCTGTAGGTATATCTATTTCCTGGGTATATCTTGCAATCTGCATATATCCTGTGTCTGTCCCCTCTGTTGGTATCTCTGAGATGTACCTATCCACTGGGCACATCAGCTGTCCTTTGGTGTGTTAGTCCCCTCTATTGGTATCTCTGAGATGTACAGTACCTATCCACTGGGCACATCAGCTGTCCTTTGGTGTGCTAGTCCCCTCTATTGGTATCTCTAAGATGTACCTATCCACTGGGCACATCAGCTGTCCTTTGGTGTGTTAGTCCCCTCTATTGGTATCTCTGAGATGTACCTATCCACTGGGCACATCAGCTGTCCTTTGGTGTGTTAGTCCCCTCTATTGGTATCTCTGAGATGTACCTATCCACTGGGCACATCAGCTGTCCTTTGGTGTGTTAAACTGGACACTCACTGCGTCGTATGACCATCGCACGACGAATCCACTTTTGCTTCCGGAGAGCGATAGATGACGTAACGCCGTCCGCTGATTGTCAGTGGCAATCTGAACGTATCCTCATTAAAAATGTGATCCGTTGGGCCCGCGTCTTCACATGCGTTCTTCGTTACGTCGCCGTCACACGTAGTGAGTAACCGGCTTAAGTTTACTAGATAATTTTATTCCAAATCTTTTATTTTGTTAAAAAATATACTTTTAATATTAGCTAAATAAAATATTTGTCAGGTATAGTTATACATTTTCTAGTTGAATATGTTACCAATCTTTTCCCTGGATACAGGATTTCTGCCCCTGGGTAGGGTATATTTGTCCTCATGTGTGTGTGTCCCTACAGTTCTACATCTATTTTCTTTTTTTGTCTGTGTCTCTATTTTTAAGTCATTCTAAATAAGCTATTAACATTTCTTCCTTGTAATATCGTCACAGTAATCGTTAGAATTTTAAATTAAATTATTAGTGACAGATGATTAATCTATTATAAAGAACTAAAATACTCATAATACGACTGACATATGTATAGATTATTGGAATTTGGAAGAGATTACATTTTCTGCAATCAAATCAATGAATTGGATTAAGGATTACAGATCGGACGGATTCTGTAGACTTGTTGTCTAAACTAATTGAAAAACATTTTAATTACCTAATAAGAGATATACTTGTTGTTGTTTCAGCTTCCGAACCGGTAAAGGTGTTGGATACTCAGGTCACTTCATGGGGTCGTGTTTAGTAATTACGTCTGTGAAAGTGAAAGGAAAGGGATTCCAACACTGTATCAAGTTTGACTTTCAACCACGGAAGGTAATGTGTATATAGATTCGTCTGAGAGTGACGTCAGCTTGTCAGATGGCCACAAGAAGGTGCTGTACGATGGTAAGCTAAGCAGCGCCATAGTGTTCATGTACAACCCAGCAGCTGTCTCTTATACACATTTATCATTTTATACTAAACTCATCCCAGACAATTTTATTATTATTTCAAATTTGTTTTCTTCCAGTGGTATATGGTTTCTGTTGTGCACATTTACCACCGATGGAAAAACAATGAAATCAGATGTTTTGTGAATGGAAAACTTGTGTCTTCTGGTGAGATGCCTTGGCATGTAAATGTCAACGAGGTAGGTCCTTGCTTCAATCAATCAATCAATCAATCAATTAATCAGTTAATCAATCAATCAATCAATCAGTCAATCAATCAAAGGACAATCACCTGTAGACAGTATACCCTTCCAGAATAAATGGGAGCGTGCTGTCATGTGGATATCAACCAGGCAAATTCTTGCTTCAATCAGTCAATCAATCAATCAATCAATTAGTCAATCAATCAATCAATCAATCAATCAGTTTAATCAAAGGACATTCACCTGTAGGCAACATACCCTCCCAGATTAAATGGGAGGGTGCTGTCATGTGAATATCAACGAGGCAAGTCCTTGCTTCAATCAGTCAGTCAGTCAATAAATCAATCAAGCAATCAATCTATCAGTCAATCAATTAATCAATCAGTCAATCAATCAATCAATCAATCAATCAAAGGACAATCACCTGTAGACAACATATTCTCCCAGAATAAATGTGAGGGTGCTGTCATGTGAATATCAACTAGGCAATTCCTTGCTTCAATCAGTCAATCAGTCAATAAATCAATCAAGCAATCAATCTATTAGTCAATCAATTAATCAATCAATCAATTAATTAATCAGTCAGTCAATCAATCAATCAATCAATTAATCAAAGGACAGTCACCTGTGGACAACATACCCTCCCAAACTATCAAAGTTTATGTGACAAATGTATGTGATGTGCCCATATATGAGCATGGTGATGTCATAGTACACCCTAATATGGACATCATTTTTTTGTCACATGAAATACTGTATGATAGTGTGGACAGAGCTTCAGTCAATATTTCTCTGGATGACTAATCGTAGATCATTTCTCTATGGACAATTATTCCTATAATTATTTTGCATGGGCAGATGCAAGATTTGGCGGTAGGGGTTGTGTGAGAGTTCATACCACCAAAGGCCCACCGTGGTTGGGGTCCGAGGTGAGAACATTTTTTAAGAACATGGACCTCTAGGTGCTCAGAAATTGCACTCTCATACCTTAAAAATCTTATTGGTAATTCATATCAATAGAATAAAATAATTATTTTTCTCAATACAATTTAGAGGGTGGCGGGTAAGATCACACCGTCTGAGCCCCCTGCAACCGTCCCAGCTTTGGGATCGTAACTTAAGTTTACTTGACTTATATTATAAGATCATGTTTACAAGAAACACTTGTGTTACTAAGGTGCACCACTGAAATGGTGTGCTTGTAATTTTACCACCAAGTAAAACAGTCTGCCAGTGTGTGGTTAAGTCATTATAATGTTTATGACTCACAAATTCGCATGACTCTAATCCAGAAAGCTGTACAATATCCTTGTATTGTTGAAAGTATTATATTCACTGATCCATCAAGCCATTAACATCATACATATTAGAAACATACTGTGTGCTTTTTTTTTCTAGCCGTTCGACAAATGTTTCCTTGGTGCAGCGCCCTCTGCCGACAAAGAGAGAACGTTCTGTGGCCAACTGGCATGTGTTTACCTCTTTAGTGAAGCTCTAACACAACAGCAAATTGAAGCTATCTATCTAATGAGCCCGAATTATAAGGTGCATTATTGTTTCAGTAAATGAATGACATACTGTTGTTGTTTTGTTGCTGTTATTCCTAGCTTTAAATTTTCTTTAACAATAACTCTCCCCCTCCTAAATTAAGTACTATCAATATTATAATCATCAAACATCATCAACATTGTCATTATCATTACCATCAGTGTATTCATCATCATTATCATTATTGTTATCATTATTTTCATTATCATTATCATCATCATTTTCTTTATCATTGTCATCATCATTATTATCATTGTATTTATCATCATCAATTTCATCATCATTATCATTGCAGTCATTATATTATTGTTTACATAGTGTCATGAATTCCTACTTGACATATTTCCGAGTGGAAAAGAAATGACTAGGAATCTCTCTTTGACATATAGAACATAAACACAGTTCACAAATTTGAAACACAACTCTCAAATAGACTATTATTCTGTGTAAAATCCAACAAGAATCCCGTCTCAAAATAACACAACTAACTTTATCATCAACATCTTAAACCTCTTCATTATCTTTGTTGTGTTCTTCATCATCATTGCCATCAGTGTAATCATTATTATTGTTGCCGTTATCCTCATCATCATCACATCTTCAACATCATAGTCATCATCATTATTAGTGGCAAAGGCAAACCAAACCAGTCACTCGATCGATATTTTATTTGCAACTGACCTACAGAATCACTTCAAGTTCCCATCTGAGAGTGACGTCAGCTTGTCAGATGGCCACAAGAAGGTGCTGTACGATGGTAAGCTAAGCAGCGCCATAGTGTTCATGTACAACCCAGCAGCTACCGAGAGCCAGCTATGCCTTGATTCTTCGCCGAAAGGCAACCCATCATACTTTGTGCACTCCCCTCATGCACTTATGGTTCAGGTACGTTCAAAATCAAACAGTTTCATATTTTAAACTAGGTTTTGGAAAAGTGACATGGATTGTCGTTTGTCGGAATTTATTGTAGTAAAGGAATTTGCAGTTTCGCAGAAATGATGAGGATGTTGTGGAGTACAAGTGTATCTAAATTTGCAACTGTTATAATCAAAAGCTGAAGAAAAGGTTAAAAATTATAATTATGGCATATTATCATTTTTATTTAGAAAGAACATTAATATGAAAAGCAAATTCAAGCTTAGTTCTCCCATACTTTTTTATTTAATTTCTTTAGAATTGTAATTAATTTTGTTAATAATCTCCCAAGGTAGTGCCCAACAAGCTATTGAACTCGATTATAATGCTATTCTCTATCTGGTTTTGCTATGGAGATAAGATGGTATTATGCATATGTCACAGAGAGCAGTATTTAAGTGTTTTTTTTATTGTATGATCAAAATATTTTGTCTCCTTGTGTAGGATGTCCGAGCCATCGTAACCCACTCTATCCACAGTACTCTACACTCCATTGGTGGCATTCAAGTCTTGTTTTCTCTGTTTACACAACTGGATTTCGAAACAACTGCTGGTAGCATTGATGAAAGCGCCTGGTATGTTAATTATTTCACAATATCTCTGGTATAACTATTTCAAGTATAGTCCCACTTCCAAGTATAACCATCCCTAGTATAGGCCCACTTCCTAACATTTTAGTAATTTTTATAATAAGTCCTCCTTTGTGTAATTAGACAACCCCTATTAATTTCAGATTTTTTTGAACAAAAATTCTATATCGTGTTTACCTTATTGATTAGAGCTGAAATTCTCTGGCACCACCCCAGCAACCAACCCTTCATTAACTTAGAAAAAGGGTGTGGTCCAAAGATCTCTGGCAAAATCAAAATTTCTTCACCAATGTTCTCCATTGGCATTGGCACCGTCACTGCTATAAAAAAAATCCCACTTCACAACTCTACTTCTCAAACCTCATAACGAGAAATAGAGATTTCTATCATTTTACTTTATTCATATAAAAAAACACCAAAATAAGAAGTGGTCACACGTCATGGCTCGAAAGCCAAATTGTATGTGAGCCTTACAATTTCAGTAAAAATTAAGATAAAATATACAAAAATTTATTATAAATATAAATCTAAGAATTGAGACAATATATACAGTCATTAATTATGAATATAAAATTTGAGGCATGTAGTTCGCAAGGATACTTGCCATTGAATTTGAAAAAATAATTGAATGTTGTGCTTTTCTTCACAGTATGACCTTGTTGAATTTGCTAAGTGACCTGTTGAAAGGCTCGCTATGTACTCAACAGCAGATGTTACAAAGCAGAGGGTTTGTGGTACTGGGTCACTTGTTGCAAAAGGTAAAGGATCTGTATATTGGATAAGGCCAAATATGTATTTAAAAAAAACCAAATCTACTCTCCTCATGTTTCTCAGAAATCATAGGCTGTGTGTGTTGTTTTTTTTTACATTTAATATCATCTTGATGATTGTAAATTGACTAATGATTTTTCATTGGGTTCTATTTTCCCTCCAGACATCCAATGCCCACTTCACAGATGAGGTGTTAGAATTATTTATTGACCTTGCGAAGTACTTCAACACCTTACCCACTGGCAGTGCATTGCTTAGGAACATAGTGGACCACATACTGTTCAACCCCAACCTCTGGATTTACACCCCGGCTAAGGTAAGTCCTCTTGTACTTTAAAAACTGGTTTTACACCCCAGGTAAGTAAGTCCTCCTAAACTTTAAAAACTGGATTTACACTGTAGCTTAGGTAATTCTAACTTCTAGATACACACTCCAGCTAAAGTAGGCATTAGTTCTTACAGGTTCAGATATCATAACACCCCTGAAAAATAATAGACCTGTCCATTCCAGGGTGCCCTGCATCCATGTTAATTATCACATGCATCCTCATTCATTTTTGTACTTTTTGGTAACTGTATAGTGTAAAAATATATAACCACATACTATTCAACCCCAATCTCTGGATTTACACTCCAGCAAAGGTAGGACCTTTATCACTCTAACTTCTAGATACCCACTCCAGCTAAAGTAAACTTTAATTCTTCCAGGTTCAGATATCATTGTACACATTCCTTGCAACTGAGTTTGTGAACCAAACCGTGATTTATACCAGTATCCGACGTGTTAGTACTGTTCTACAATTGATGCATACACTAAAGCACTACTACTGGGTTATCAATCCAGAAGCTCGCAGCGGGATCACACCAAAAGCAGCTGGTAAGTTAACCTCGTTAAAGATGATGGTCATTGGGCATATTCGACTGGTTCATTTCGTTGAGTACAAATTTTCATTGAGTATTATTTTCATTCGACTGGTTCGAGTATGGCCATTGTGTAATAGCCTACATAGTGGTCTATTCAGCAAGGTTGATTATTTGGGATTATTGATGCTCTGTAACCAAGCCTAGAGGCCTGTTTATGCTTAAAAAATGAGTGAGTACTTCAACATCTCGATTGTGAGAAAAACTGTTCACGTTATTTCATGCTAACTAATAGTTAAAATTGTTAGTTAATTCATCATATTGGATGGGATGGTCAGAGCTGCCACGTTGCTAAAATAGGTGCAAGCGTTTTAAGCCTAAGCCAGTTCACTCATTGTTGTATGTTATTAAACAAGATTTCTTTTATGCACATTTTTATGCCTTTGAAGTGCTGTAAAAAAAATTTTTACAGCACTTTTTTTAAACTGCTAGTAAATTTTGTTGTGTTTTTTCAGTGTTTTGTTTTTAAGGATAAATATACCTTGATAAATAAATAAAGATGATTTATTCAATTAACTTTCAAATTTTGGTTCATGCATTTAGATGGCACTAGACCAAGTTTGGAAGAAATGAAGACAATTCGTGGTCTGTTGATTCAGATTGCTAAACTGCTGATCCTGCGAGAAAAATCGGCTAATGATGATGAGTTGCAAAGTGTGTTGAATTTCCTCAGTACAGTGCATGAGGTAGGTCCTACCAGGTGTTGTATCCCACCTCTGATGATTTCCCTTACCACTAATATGATGGATTGATATTCTCAATGTTAAATGGGCTAATCACTTACATTGGAAATTATTGTCGGACTATTTCAATTGAATTAATCGATATCAGCTAGTTTCCCTTTAGACAAAATATAATAGAATCGTATCCGGTTGGCTACTATGTTTCACAGAAGGGTTCATATTCTCTGTGCGGGTATTTCGGCCTAGCCTGTAACTTGACAGGCTTACTGAGTGTTCTTTTTACCCCTCGAGGAAGCAGAGTTTTAGCTGTGTGGTCATGGCTAGCCTTAAGTGAAATTCGCAGTGTTCACCTCACTATTACCTGGTGGTAAAATATCACCTAACCTCCCCTGGTGTCAGCTTGACAATTGTTTCATTTTTTAACTAGGATGAGAATATTCGTGACATTCTGCAATTATTGTTATCATTGATGGTGGAGAACAACACAAACATGGCATCAGCCTTCGATAAGAAAAATGGAGTTAAGTAAGTACAGTGTCATTTAAAGCTATGTCAAGATTGTCAAAATCTTTTTGAAAAAAAACAACTGTTGTATGCCCATATATAGTCATGATGTGCCCATATATAGTCATGATGTGCCTATATATGGTCATGATGCTATATTTAGGCATGTCACATGTTTTTATTCCTATTTATGATGTGCGCATTTAAAAAATATAAATATTCTCACTCGTCACAGAGTTGTTTTCAAGCTTCTAGCCTCTGAAGATGAACACATCAGAGCAATGGCGCTTAAGGTACTGGCACTCTTCCTCAGCAGGACACCTCATAAGTAAGTACTTACTTTATACCAACACCTTTTTTCCCAATTCTAATGGCCTATTTTAATGAATACTTGCCTAGATAAACAAATTATTGCCATTGTTTTTCAACCAGAACACCCCTGAAAAAGAATAGACCTGTCCATTCCAAGGTGCCCTGCATCCATGGTAATTACCACATGCATGCATCTTTCCTTTTTGTACCTTTGGTAAATAGTACTGTATAGTGTAATGTCCTTACATTGAATACTTGCTTGGTTCTTCTCAGGAATAAGATGGATCTTCTACTTGGCCACAATCTTTACTCATTGATTGGTGAAAGGTTAACATTAAACACAAATGAAATTACACTTACCATGTACAATGGTCTCTTTGAGGTGAGTAACAAGTTGTGCCATTGGATGATATATAAATACTCTCCTTGCTAAGTCAGCACATGTAGAATGATAAGCCTCAGAACACCAAGGGCAAATATAATTGACACCAGCAGTCTCCAAACGTCGGCCAAGTGTACTATATAGTTAACATACAGGTATTGCCTGTTTTTCAGCTCAGATTTCTCTGATTTCTTGAGGAGCTTGGGTTTGTTTGTTTTACCCTTGGGACAAGAGTTCATAGTTCTTGCAAACAATGGAATAAACTTGATTTGTGCTGTTTCAAAACTATCGTTTTAAAAATCATCTAATATATTGCAAGATTTCATAATGGCCACACAAAAAAATTCACAGCGGAATAAATGTTTGTATTTTGTAACCCATATCGAAAATAATACGATAATAGCCACACTTTGTCAAAGCCTAGCAGTGAAGATGACTTATTAAGTGTACATATAACATTCCTGAATTTTTATAAAATTAGATTTTGACAGAGAGAGTGACAATGCAAGTACAGACAGCAAGACACACAGAACCTGACAAGACCTACAGGATTATGAATCCAGGTAAGTATTCTGAGACAACTATATTTTTAAGTTAAATAATTATTATTTCTGTATAAATAGAACACCATCCCATCCTGTAATTGACTTACTGTTGGATGTGAAATGTTGATTGTAATGTTTGACTCATAATTATTAGGGATGTTCCAAGTGATCGCAAAGTTACTACGGCAGTCAGCTCCGAGTCTGAATGTACAGAATGTGAAACGTCTCTTTCTGTCAGACATGATCTTGTTGTTTAACCACAGTAGAGAAAACAGAAGGTATGCTTCCCACTTCTAGTTAAGTTAATTCAAATGTATACCATCATTGTTTTAAAGATACAAGGGAGCTTTTCATTGCATGAAGTGGTAGAATGTAATGATGACACTAAGAAGTCATCTGCACATGCGAGAATGCTAAGTTCTCCTCGTCGCGTGGATTCTGGGACGCAATTTAGCCAAATCTATGTTGTGCCGAGGACGTAGGACAGTCGTGCATGAGTGAATCCGTTCTACCATCACATCACGTAAATCAAAACGTCCCTCTTGTCCTTGGTAAAATCAGAAAAATGCCTCCAATATGAGATAATGTTTCTGTACTTTAGAAACTTTTAAATACAAAAAGTATTCAATTGGTTATCAGCTAATTTAACGATCTAATAATGAATATGTAGAAATGCCATTATTTAATCCGCTTTTTTGCATTTTAATTAAAAAGTAATTACGTAGTGAATAATGCTGCACTTCTGCGGTCATGGGTCCTTTAGTGGTTAAGATTAGTTCCTACTTACTCAAACAAGACTCATGAAAAACTTAACTTACTTTTAACTTTTGTTTTTGTTTCAGGATTTTACTTCAATGTAGTGTGTGGCAGGATTGGATGATCAGTCTGTCGTACATTTACCCACAGACAGATGAAGAAAAGAAAATCAGCGAGATGGTTTACTCTCTGCTACGTATGCTGCTTCACCACGCCCTAAAGTATGAATGGGGTGGATGGCGTGTGTGGGTTGACACCCTCTCTATCATTCATTCCAAGGTTGGTTGTAATGTTTACCTCTCCATCTGTCTCATCATCATTTGAGGCATGTTGTGGCAAAATGGCTAATTTGTAGCAAAAATTGAAATTCAAGTTATTGGTATTTTCAGTTACCTGAGTATGTGATCTTTAAAATGAGGGTTCATTCATTGATATTGGACATTTCAAGCCTAAATTATTGTAAAGTGAATGTACAGCACTCTTAAGAGTCAAGATAAACATGATTTTGAGTAATTGCCTTCCAAAGTTATTTGTGCATACATTGTTTAATAGAATTAACTATCAAAATAACTTTAAATAAACGATTTGTTGACCACTTTAATACTCTGTAATAAGACATTAAACTGTTGATCTATAGTGAAAAAACACAAATTTAGATTTTTAGGCAATTTTTTGAGCTCCCATATTTTATAGCTCATTTACTCAATACTGTCCTGTGCGACAAATTAACCATTTCACCACGACATGCCTCATTTGTCTTCCTATTTATATCTCCATTTTTCTGTCTATCCATCTTCCTTTCTATTTGTCTCACCATCTCTCCATCTGTCACACCATTATCTTTACATCTGTCTCTCACTCTGTTATCATAATCTTTCCATATGTCTTTTCATCCGCCGTCTGTCGGACCAGGTTCTCAAAGTTGAAACAGAGAGTAATACTTTTCCATTCTTACCTATTTACATTGAATGTTTCAGGTTTCTTTTGAGAACCATAAGCTTGAGTTGTTGAAGGCCTATGAACGATATCAGAGGCAAGGTGTGAACAGTCCAGGTGGCGCACTCTCAGTCTCCGCTGTAATGGATGACACCTCAAACCAACGTCCAGGTGAAACCTACAGTCTCCTGTCAGCCATGGCTGGTGGGTCTGGTGATGGTACTGAAGTCCAAGTGAATGAGGCGACTGACGATGACTCTCTTGAAGCTGGCAGTGGAGGTGATGCACAGCCAAAGGTGGATAATGGTGATCAGACACCTGAGAAAAGGACCGAAAATGAAAGTCAGGAGAATGAAGAAAGTAATGAATTAACAAATAAGAGTAAACAGACCAAAGCAAATTTGGATGTACCTGTAAGTTAAACACTCAGCATGATGATGACATTCTCAATAGGATGACATCATCCTCCATATAATGATATCATCCTCAATATGATGACATCATCCTCAATATGATGATATCAACACTATGATGACATCATCAACAATATGATGACATCATCTTCAATATGGTGTCATCTTTCTTTAAAAGATGATATCGTCTCCAATAAGATGACATCATCCTCAATGTAATAACATCATCTTCTATATGATGACATCATCCTCAATATGATAACATCATCTTTGAAATGATCATACAGTTTTCAAAATGGTCACACTATCCTCAGAATGATGACATCATTCTCAGAAGTTATTAATTATAATGTTTTGGTGACAATGTTTTAAATAACATTTGTAGTGTAGTTTTCAGATTTCACTGCCTATCCTAAATGCTAAATATAAAATCCCATTGCCATCCAAAATGATAACATCCTGAAGATGATAAAATTATCTGTATAATAGCATAACATGTAATATTAGCTCTGTTTTCTATAAAGAAATTTTATTCCCATCATTATAAATATTCATTGTTTTAGGCTAATCAGAATCCATCTGCTGCAGAGTCCCCTGCACAGGTGAATCACCTTGGCGATGAAGCAGGGCAGGGTCAAATTGGCCAGCCCCATCCAGGCCAGTACTTCAGTCCAGGACCACATAGGGCTCCATACAGGATACCCGAGTTCAAGTGGTCGGTGATGCATCAGAGAATGATGTCTGATTTGTTGTTTGCAATTGAAACAGACATACAAGTGTGGAGAAGGTATGCAACAAATTTAACTTGATTGTTCTGCGTTAAACAGACAGGCCCACATGATCATGTGATTTTCCTGAGCTGAGTGCGGCCGTTCCGTGGCAAAAACAACACAACTTGAAATTTTTACTTTTCGAGAAAAATAGAGTTAAAGTTTGCATTTTGGTAACTTGGCAATAAATTGTTATACCCTTCTGAAATTTTAAAGGATTATATATCTACAAGCATTATAATTATATGTAATTGTAATTACAGCAGTTAGTAATTTGCAAAGTTATTAACGATATTTACAGATACGTTTTTTTTTTATCTTGGAAATATTTCATGCGCGGTATTGTGACACATATTTGAATTTATTAATTTGGGGAAATCATATGCATTATCTAGCTTGTGCATATGTCGTCGTTAATGATTATTGATATGAAAACACCATCAATCATTAATTTTGCTTTGCAAAACTCTATCAATTCAAAACAATTTTTGATTACCATTCTGAGGCAAAACAACGTATCTTCATTGTAGATACGTTGTTTTACTGCATATCTTGCAGTTACGTTGTTTCACCACGGAAAATTACTAGATTTTAAGTTTTGTACTTAAAGATAGGTGGTACTATCTTCGAAATGACCTGAAATTTTCACAGGTAGTTTAGAAATGTTTAATATACTCCCAAATGATAAATCAAAATCTACAAAAATATTGGTTACATTGTTTTGCCTCGGAACAGCTGAGTGGTTGGCTGAGAGGTATTGGTCCTGCTTCTAGTGCTGAAGAGTCCTGGTTCAAACCCAGCCAGCTTTGGGTTTTAATTGCAGTCTGATCGCTTGGCTCCTTGAACAACCCTCATATTGAGAGTTTGCACTGTGGGTATATATGGACTTAATGAATTTACACATCTCATGACAGCTAATCACAAGATGGCAATCACAGGATGTTTCTATTTCAGTTATGCATTATGCAAACATATCTCACATAATAATAATAATAATAATAATAATAATAATAATAATATGTCGTTCTTATATAGCACTTCATGCCTTTACAAGGCCTCTAAGCACTTCACATTACAATTTGAGTGAATCAAAATTGGGTTTTTTGTTGTTGTTTACTTCAGTCACAACAGCAAGACAGTCATAGACTTGGTCAACTCTGCGGAGAATATTGTCTTTGTGCAGAATGTTACCCAGTTGGTTTCGCAAATCTCTGACAATTTAATTTACGCCTGCGGTGGTATTCTACCCCTCCTGTCCACAGCCACTTCCAGATCTGTAAGTCTATTTCAAGTACTACTGTTACAATTTGGTAGTGTTAAAGTTCAACATGTGTTTAATATATTTTTGTATGATAAAAATATTTTTTAATTTCATCAGTTTTTTCCATAATCTTATCATTATTTATGGTGGGATAATCAATTATTATTATAAATAATTTTATCAGTCAATCTGTTTACAAATGGATTTAATTTGTAATATATGCCTAAATATGTTATAATATATTGTATTATATTTTAATATTTTGTTTTTTATTGTGTTATTTTATAGTGTTTTGTTGTTATAGTTTATAATAATAATATTTATAATAATAATAATAATAATAATGCCAAATATTTATATAGTGCCAATTCCAAATTGAATGATCAAAGGCATTGAGCATTATTACCCACTAGTCACTGGATAAAATACAATAGCAAACCTGCATGTGCAACCTTCTCTGCTTCTTCAGGAGTATGCCTAGTCGTTCGCTTGTACTCAGCCACAAAATCCCACCAGGTACACATTTATACTCCTGGGTAGAGAGAGAAAAGTGTAGATAAAGTGCCTTGCCCAAGCGACTTAAACAGCGAGAGTTTCGAAGCATTGACTTCAAGGTTGGGAGTTCAAGCCACAACCGATTCTACAAATAATACAAACATTTATTTTTAGAATGAGGCAGATGTCATTGAACCAACCCAAGACCTCCCCCTGGACGTTGGAATTACATTCCTAAACAGGATCATCAATCTGGTCGATGTACTGGTGTTTGCAAGCAGTCAAAACTTCGGAGAACTAGAGGCGGAGAAGAACATGTCAAAGGGGGGTATCCTAAGGCAATGTCTACGACTGTGTAAGTTATCATACACTTTGAAATTTTTATTTTTCTTTTAAAATCTGTATGGATCATTATGAAAATAAGAAAAAAATGAGAATATAACAAATATAAAATATGAAAAAACTAATATAAAACTAACAGGTAATAAGATTGCAGATTAACATAAAAGAATAAAAATGAGTGAAATATAAAAAATAGTGGTAACTTTCTATAAAGCCTGTTTTTCACTTGGTGAATTTATTCGCGCAAATGGAAAGTGGCGGCTCATGCACATGCACATTCACATTTCTCTCGGAGTTTTTTCTAGCGAAAAAATGCGCAACCAATCAGAACTCAGAAAGTGAACCTACGTTTTCATTCGCGCAAGTAAATCGCCTAGTGGAAAACCAGCTTAAAGAGATTGATTGTAAGGCTTTGAGTATAAGAGCTTCAAGGCCCTAAAGCCAGTACTCGCTGTGTTGTACGACGGTTAAACAAGGGTCGCACAGCGGTCGCACAATGGTCACACGACGAATCTAACATCGCTCCACGTGAGTGCTAGACGACGTGGCACCGTCTACTAATTGTCGGTGATAGTCTGAACTTGTCGCTATAAACAATCCGTTACACGCGCTTCCTTGCATTTTGCGTTTTTAGAATCTCGTTGGCTGACAACCATCAGACACAATGAGTGTGTGGCTTATGTCACACATTTGCTGGTTGAAGGCCATTTTTAAATATTTAAATATTTCTGTATAAATGTATTTCAGAAGATTTTTTTTTAAACAAATTTTACAGCTTGCTATTGCGCTATCAGAAACGTCCTGGAATGTCGGTACCGGCAAAGCCCGGCATCCAGTGGGGCAAGTATACGTAGCGGGCAACAGGACCAAGACAGTCCTGGCCAACGACTACAGAGCGTTATAAACGCAACACATCCATCTCCTAAGGTAGGACAGGCTTTGCTTGCTTGAAGCTCTTTTGTAATGCATGTGTGTGTGAGTAGGTGTGTAAGGGGATTTGTGTAGGTGTTTTCCCTGTGGTATGTGAGTGGGTGTTGTGGCTTTGTGTGTGTGTGTGCATGGTGTGTTCATTGGTGTGTGCTAATTTTGTTGTATGAGTGTATTTAGATGTGTGCATGGTGTGGTGGGTGTTTGTGTGGATATGTGTAGCTATATGTGCAAGTATTTATTTGTGTGAGTGTGCCTATGATTAAGTATGGATGTGTATGTATGTATGGGTTTGTAGTGTTTGTAATAGCTATCTCTGTGCGTGTTTCTCAGGTATGTGTGAATAAGGAGTAGTTACTGTAATTGATACAGTATGCATTGTATGTGATGGCATGGGTTTGTATGTGTGTTTGTGCTTTATGGTTATGATGTGTATTAAGAGGTGCTTTTGTGTGGTATTAGTATGTGAACCCCGACCTCCTTCTAGCCAATGATAATCAACCTACAGTAGTCAGTAATGATATATTAAACTTGGTAAGGAGAAACCCCTTCATCAATTGTCAATATAGAGGTAATAATAAATATTTTCTTAAAAAAACTTAACTGATTCCATTGAGATTCGAACCCAAGGTCCTGTGAATGCAAGCTGGTATGCGCCTTTAGATTCTACCATTAGATAGTATTGATGATATTGAGTTGCTATAGATACAGTGCATGTATGAGAGGCCAGAAGTGTCTGTATTTGCATGATGTGTGTTGCTACAAGCTATGTTGATTGTTGAAATGATAAATTGTTCAATGAAATTCTTGGAACATTTTAACTCGCATTTCTGCAACTCATTGCCTCGTGCTTGTTAGAAATTCTCACCAATAACCATGCTTTCCATATTGATGTTTTCAGCTCATGTTAATGTCATATCTTAATGTATAAATTCTGTAAAGTAATTTATTATTTATTAACTTAAATGCTAATAATGTTCGTTAATTGTTCTAATCATAGTGTGTAATGAAAATGTGTATTTTGCTGTGGTGCATGTACTAAATGTGGAACAGTGTGAAATTGACATAATGTTTCATAAATGTATTTAAAAAAATGAGTTGTTTTATCTTGTATATTTATAAGTAAACATACATGTTAATCTTAAAAATATATTGGATATAGGCTTTCATGTACATAATAAGCTCCGTCAGTAACCATGGAGTTGTTTTATTTTATTTGCGATTCAACACAATATTTAGCAAGGTTAGTTCATCCTACAATACTGATCATTTGGGACCCTTGATCCTCTATAACCAAGTATTTTTATGAGGCTTGGTGAGTGGATAGTTGATTATTTAGAACCCTTCATTCTCTATAAGCAAGTCACTTTAGGAGGCTTGGGGAATTGATCATTTGGGTCCCTTGATCCTCTATAACCAATTCTCTTTATGAGGCTTAGGCAGTGGAGCTGATCATTTTAGCCCCTTGATCCTCTATAACCAAGTTTCTTAATGAGGTTTATGCAGTGGAGCTGATCATTTTAGCCCCTTGATCCTCTATAACCAAGTTTCTTAATGAGGTTTATGCAGTGGAGCTGATCATTTTAGCCCCTTGATCCTCTATAACCAAGTTTCTTAATGAGATTTAGGCAGTGGAGCTGATCATTTTAGCCCCTTGATCCTCTATAACCAAGTTTCTTAATGAGGTTTAGGCAGTGGATAGCCCCTTGATCCTCTATAACCAAGTTTCTTAATGAGGTTTAGGCAGTGGAGCTGATCATTTTAGCCCCTTGATCCTCTATAACCAAGTTTCTTAATGAGGTTTAGGCAGTGGAGCTGATCATTTTATCCCTTTGGTCCTCTATAACCAAGTTTCTTAATGAGGTTTAGGCAGTGGAGCTGATCATTTTAGCCCCTTGATCCTCTATAACCAAGTTTCTTAATGAGGTTTAGGCAGTGGAGCTGATCATTTTAGCCCCTTGATCCTCTATAACCAAGTTTCTTAATGAGGTTTTGGCAGTGGAGCTGATCATTTTATCCCTTTGGTCCTCTAACCAAGTCTCTTAATGAGGCTTAGGAATGGACCTGGCCATTTTGAGACCCTCAATGCTCAATGAGTGTAGTGACTTGAGTGAAATCATTCTTTTTTATTTTGAGTAAAACCAAAGACAAGATGGGACCAAAGCCTTGGGATCGGAATGAAGGCAAGCATCTTAACCACCACAATTCCTTCACATTAACTCTCCATTCTTGACGTGGAGTTCTGTGTACATGAAAGCCTAACCAATAATACCACCAACTAATCTTGAATGTGTCGCTGTCAGTTATTGTATTTCACATCAATCTCATTTTCATGTTTCATAAATTCATCTATAGTTTTATGAGGTTTCGCTACATTGGGTAGTACATATAGTCTCAATGCTTGTTTAGCCAGTTGTCAGCTTGATGTGGAAGCAAAGTATGAAATATGTAAACGAGGATCTTGATTGTGTATGTAACAAAAATGCTGTCCTCGGTATCTAGCATATTGTAAATTAATGTCTGCATGAAAACAACTTATTTGCAAATAGTCGACATGGTTAAAATAATTTCTTACTCCAGATTTGTTTATTTTGCCCATGTATGGGCATTATGATGTCACATGAGGGTGACGATGTCATCACCCAAGTATTGAGTTTGTCAGCACATTTTCTACTTGAAAAGGTCAATCAGTCAGTCTTAATAACTTGTATAGCACCAAATACTACCAAGTAAAATAGTGTTTGGGGGTGCATACTGATGATTGTTTAAGTTAAGAGTACATAATATATTTAATCTCATGGTGACATCACAGGGACTGACAACGTGTAGCGAAACCTCATTGCATATGTCCTTCATATTTAACCCTACTGAATGTTATTAGGCCCTCCCTTACATATTTAAATCATTTAGTATTTATTGATCTTCCAAAATAGACTCCTAAACACATTTAAAGTAATAATATAAAAAAAAACAAATATTCTAATAAAAAAAATAATGGTAGATTAAGTTAGCTACGATAAAGGAATTGTTAATTAATTCATTACAGTAAGTCCAAAACCATTGCAAGGGGTACATAGATCAGTCAATTGAGTGTTTCATTGATCAATTGTTTGGCTATGGTTCACTTTATTGGTAGAATTGATAAAATTGATTGATAACTTATTGATTGATTGATCAATCAATTAAAGATTAGGCTCCTTATACTTGACAAATATTATTTATTTATAAGGACCCTCATAACAAAATTGTAATAGGGTGGTCTTAACTGAAAGCTGATGGAATTGTTAATTTTAATGTCTTCATTTTGATTAGCACCATTCATGTAAACTACAAAATTTTAGTTAAACATTTTTGAATGCTATTTACTATGCATCAATCAGAATAGTGATTATGTGTTAAATATTATATAAAAATAAAAATAAGCATTTTAATTATTAACAGTGAAGAGTAATAATCTCCTTAATGTGATGTATTTTATTTTGCACCCTAACCACGACCACAAAGGATGAACCTTTGATCTACTACCGACACCTGCCTTTGGTAAACTAATGCACACAGAAAATTAAAAAAATTTTTAAATTCAATCACTTAACATAAAATATGACACCTGTTCTTGCTACTTGGGAATGTGCATGCACCACAAAGGATAATCCTTTAATCTACTACTGACACCTGCCCTTGTTAAAACTAATGCACATGGAAAATTAAACAATTTCTAAAATTCAATCACTTAACATAAAATACGACACCTGTTCTTGCTATTTGGGAATGTGCATGCACCTGGTTAATTAACATAATATGACAAGATATTATGCAAAATTTGCATATTTCGTAACCTTTTGGAATTTGTTTTTTGGGCATGTGGAATTCACAGTTTCTAGGTTCGAATCATACTGGAGTACAATAATTTTTCTCTTACCTTTATTTGAAAATGTTGTGACACAAATTTATAAATATTTTAATAGTAACATTAATTATTTTATAATCTAAATTTTGTATGGTAATGCAAATATATACCGAGAATCATTCAGTTGTTTTTATTTATTAAATTTTTTTTTTAATGATAAAATTTAATGTAACTAACATGACTTAATTAACTGCAATGCGGGGCAAGCATTTTTTTGTCATGGGAATTTTCAGCGGTTAATACCTTTCTAATTGGTTTTCTGTTAATTTCTAAGTTCCTAAACTCAAAAAGTCCCACCAAAGGCTATACCGTATGTTTTATTCTTAATCCAATCCTGAGTTTAGAAAATCTTGTATAATTATGTGATAAATGATAAAAAAAAAAAAAATAATGATACATGCTTGTAGTTTTAGAATAATAAACTTCATTTGATTTAAATGGTTTTTTTTTATTACCAAGAAAAAGCAATTTTTCACTCCTTTAAATTCAGTAACAATAATTATATTCACTGTTTGGTTAAATATGTTAATTGTAAATGTAACTAAAGAAAGGGCAATTCATGTCAAAAATTCAACAACTTATCCTATGTTCACCTTGTTTAAAATTGTTGATAATCCCATTTGTTTATATCATGCTTATTGAAGTGTTATCAGAAATATATCATATATTCATTGTAAAGGGTTACAGAGTGGCTGAATTTAACCAAGCATATAGTTTTCATGTATATAAATATGAAATTCAATTTTGGTAGGTTCAAACTGTAATTACCCCAGGGTAACTGAAGACGGATGAACAAATATCCCAGAGCATAAAAATTTAGTATGGCCACACACAATTTTTGATATGTTGTACTGTTTTTTCTAATACACAAAAAGCATATATGACAAAAACAAAACTATGATAAACAGATTTTTGAATATTTAAAAACTTGGGGAAAAGGGGTTTAACCACATGTTTAATACATAATAAGTATTTTGATCTCATTTTTGGGGGGGGGGGGGAAATATTTATAAAGAAACCTTCACAAGGTTTTGAATTTTTCAGCTTGGGCAACATTAAAGGGGGGTTTTTTTTGCCTTATATCTTTGTGGTGTTAAGCTACTCTGTAACCCAAGCTATGTTTACAACAAATATCACTTTGTATTTCTAACTCTGGTCATTCGCTTTGGTACTGTTCATTTGTTTCTGTTTTTTTTTTGTATTTTTTGCTTCTCATCTGTTCTTTACCTGCGTAGTTATTCAGCATGAAGAAATCTTCGAGTGTAAAGGTATATGCACAGTTTTTTTCACTTTTTTCCAACATTCTGCACTAATCTGTCTGTCTCTAAATCTATTCTCTTAAAATGCTAATCATTTCTTCTTCCCGTAGCGACACAGGACAACGCGTTTCCACCATTTGAATATGAAAGCGTCGTCTTTCGACGCAAGATCTAGCCCTGTAAGTCTTATTTCTAAGTGCATGTCATAAAATCCAGAGGTGTGTTTAAAATGATTTTCACTGGAGCACAGCACAAAGGAGGGGTTTAGTGAAGATCCCCCTCACAAGCTTTTGAACATGTTACGTCAAAGCAATTTCATCAATTATGCAAAACACTTTCACTGGGGAACTGTTAATTAATCACATTTTAAGACTAGCATCACATTTTTAACAGGTGTATAATTTATTTTACACATTTATTATTGTTTTGCAATATTGTGGACAATGCCATGCAAATGTTAAGCATAGCTAATGGAACTGAAGCTAAATTTCTTCTTTATTAACACTAATATTACTAAAGAGAGATAAGAAATATATTAGTGCCAGCCCTTAAGTAGGGATGTATTTAGTTATCAAAATGTGTACACCATGATATGCTGTGATTGGTAGGTTTTGATCATGTGGTATATTTTAAAGAAAAATTACAATGTCAGTTTATGCATTAGTATTCTCGTGATTCAATATGGGAGTATAAAGGTTGTGTGAAATATAGGTAGAATAATCTACCTGTAATACATATTGTTTGTTTTAATGTTTTATTCTATTTGTCGTCAGTATTTAAATTCAATACTATAAAACAACACAGCATGAATTATGGTATGGTGGATAAAGTGCTCACCTGTCAATTTCAGGGTCCTGGGTTCAAATTCTGCAAGTCCCAGGGTTTCTTCTCACACCTAAAACAATTGCACTGCCTAAGCCTCATATTGCCGTTTAGTTTATAGAGCAACATCCTGTCCACATGTTCTGTCCTGTGACAAATATCTAAAGTCTTGGTCACACTATCAAATTTTATGTGACAAATAATTGTGATATGATGCCCATATTACAGTAATATGACATCATCATGCCAATATATGGGCATATCACACAATTTTGTCACAAAATTAATTAAATTAATCAAAAACTGTCACTCAATAATCAATTAATATGTCATGCTTTTGTCACTTTTCATACCTGTCAATATTAAAAACAATGATTGATGTCAACCAAACAACCAACTAACCATCTAACCAACCAACCATCTATCCAACCAAGCAACCAACCAACCATCTAACCAATGAACAAACCAACCAAACAAACAACCAACAAACCAATTAACCAACCAACCAACAAACAAACCCATCAATGAACCAAATGACCAACCAAACAACCAACAAACCCATCAACCAACCAACCAGTCAATCAACCAATCAACCAATCAATGGTTATACATAAATGCTCATTCAATTAATCAATCTACTTATGTTTGCTACTTGGCTTTGGTCAAGTCTTGTTTCTTGCACCTTAGGTTGCTGTGAAGATAAATCATTTTCTTACTGGCTCAGCTTTTTTCTACTCAAATTTTTTGAATTGATATTTGTTTTTAAATGCTATTAGTTAAGATATTATTATTTCATTAAGTTATATTAATTTTAAAATGTCCTTTTTGACTAACATTATATAGTAAAGTTGCAATTTAGATGTATTTTTTCCAAATAATATTCATGTGTTTGATTTCTATCTATACTCAAGCTTTCTTTCATATTGAGATTGAGAATCAGTTTTTATTTGCTAGCTATCTGTAAATAATGTTGTGTTTAACGGGGATTTATAGTTTTTAAATTGTTAATTTAAACTATTACTACCAATGTATGCATTTTTTATACATATTGAAATATTTATTTGATATAAGATAAATTAATTATTTGTAATCTACCAGCTTATATCGACTGTCCAAAGTGTTATTATTTTATTAATGTTTATGGCTATTAATACAAAAGCATGTTTGAACTATGGGTGCTGTTCATTTAATTTAACCTTTTTATTTATGCTTTTAAATAAAGAAATTTATTGGCAGGTGTATTGAGATGATTTTATTTATTAAATTAATTTATACCATTTTAATTTTTCCTTTTATATAAAGAAATTTATTGGCAGGTTTATAGAGATGATTTTATTTTAACAATATGATCATAATATTTTTCTACTTTTGTATAGAATATAGTGGATAACCTGACAGGACCGATGTCTCCTGTACGTGAAATTGAACGATTGTTGCAAGATATGGATATACACAGGTTGAGGGCGGTAGTCTATAGGGATGTTGTAAGTTTGGTTTATTTATTCAAGTTCAAGATGAAAATACAAAAAAAAAAGGACATTAATTTATTTATTTTCTTTCACTCCAATATAAACTTGTCATAAATAACTAAGATGAGTGATTCACCACTGTGTGTAATCTAGGTATAATAATACATACTGCATCCATCAGTTGCCAACATTTTTTTTAATTTCAGGAGGAAAGCAAGCAAGCACAGTTCTTGTCTCTGTCCATTGTATACTTTATCTCAGTGCTGATGGTGGCACGCTATCGTGACATTATTGAAAGAGAATCTGGTGGAAGGCGAAGCAGAAGTGCAACTGGGTCTATCACAAGTCAGGATTCCTTTTCTTCTCCAAAGAAAAAGAATAAAATTATAGAACCAGGACATGAGGTCAAGGAACCAGTAGTAGTTGTCAAGGAACCTGTAGTAGATGTCAAGGAACCCGTACCTGATGTCAAGGAACCAGTACCAGAAGTTAAGGAACCAGCAACAGAAATACAGATGTCTGCTGTGTCAGATTCCACTTTGAATGGTGAAGCTGAAGCCCATGTGGAAGGCAACGTAGATGAGAATACTGTTGAAAAGGTTGAAGTAAATGATGTGGACATTGAAGTGAAGGAAGAAAAGACAGATGGTAATGCATTTTCTTTAGTGTGTTAGAGTTCATGATTTGGCATGGGTTTGTCTGTCTGTAGGCCCAGTGTACATAACTAGATCAAGTGCACTTTAAAGAACCCAAAACATCCTAAATAAAGAGCAAAATATTGTCCCATTGTGGTTAGCACTTAACCAGAAAGATACACCTTTATCTATACACTTAACTTTGCACCATGAATTCGAGATATTTTCAATTTTTAATTTTTTCCTTTTTCTCACAGCAAATGAACAGGGAAGTGAAGTACCAAAAGAGAAAGAAGATGATGATTTAGCTGTTGAACAAACAGAGGTCAATGAAAACGAAAATGTTGGCAAAAACCAAGAATCTGGGGACACCACAGTTGACACAAGTGATCAAGTTGAAGCTGAAGTGTCAACTGATTCAAAAGCAGCTGAGGCAGAAGAACCTGTTGAGGATGGCACTCCAGTAGTTGATTCAGAGATAGACTTGGAACAGCAGCCAGATGTTGTTACAGAGGAGAGTGATATCACCAATGCAAAAGATGTTCCAGAGTCTGATGTTAACAAGGAATATGAGAATGTAGACGCTGATAAAAACCTTGTTGAACCTGCTGATGAAGATCAAGCAGAAGCTTCAGAGCATAGTAAAGAATCTGGTGCAACAGAGGTAGAAGCCACCAGTCAGAAAACTGCAGATGATACAGTGCCGGAAGATCAAAAGCAGCCAGATGAAACAAAGGCTAAGACAACTGAAGATTCCTCAGAACCAGTTCCAGAGGAAGAGACAATAGGTGCAGCAGAAGCTGCAAATTCTGATTCTAAACCAGAAGATGTTGATGAGAAGGCAGAAACTGATGAAAAGACGGAGACACAGCCTAATGGTGTATCAGATGCTGAATCTGCAGCTACACATGATGCTCCAGACAAAGTTCCTAGTGCCTCAATCTCATCTATCGTCGTCCAATCAGATGGTAAGACATACTTTTCGGATTAGGAATTCAGTACTTTGATAAAATATCTCATTTGTTTTATATTTCTCACAAATCAGTCTTGGATATTGTATAAGGTGGCATTCTCTGTTTACCATTTTTAGATAAAACAGCCAGTCAGACTTGGCCATGGACAGGCAGTGCTAATGAAGGTGATGGAAAAGGAGAAGTAGCTGCTGGTGACCAGATGCATCCGGAAGGTGCTGCCATCCAACCTGTACCCTTTCCTGTGCCATCTCCTCATGCCATGATGACGTCGAGCCAGGATGGTAATTCTGCTGTTAATGGTGCTTCCTACCATGAAGGAAACAACATGTACAGTGGCATGGGAGTAGAGGAGAAGCTGACCAGATCTCTGGAGACTTCAGCACCTCTTCTACGAGAGATATTTGTTGACTTTGCTCCTTTTCTTTCTAAAACCTTGCTTGGAAGCCATGGACAGGAACTGCTCATTGAAGGTACTCCTTGGTTATGTCTTATCTAAACATAGTTTAATTGGATATATAAATACACATTAGTACAAGCATAACCTACACTTGAAAGTAAGAATATAAATTCTTGAATAATTGAGTACTCACTCACTTGTTCCTTCATTTATTCTTCAAAATATTATAGTTATTCATTCATCATTCATTCATTCATTCATTTCATCATTCAACCAATCATTCATTCATTAATTCATTAATTTATTATGTTAATAATTCATTTTTTAATACATTCATTTATCTATTTATCTATTCATTCATGCACTTTATGTTTCTTTATTTAATTAGTTTTTGTCCCAATTTATTCCTAGGCCTGATCAGTATGAAGTCTTCAAAGTCAGTTATTGAACTTGTCATGATGTTGTGCTCACAAGAATGGCAGAACTCCATCCAGAAGCATGCTGGCCTAGCATTCATTGAGCTTATTAATGAGGGCAGGCTTTACTCTCACGCCACCCGAGATCATTTGTTAAGAGTCGCTAATGAGGCAGAGTTCATTCTAAGCCGCCATCGAGCGGAAGATGTTCAGAAACATGCTGAATTTGAGGTTGATCTGGTTTTTTTTTTCTTGCCTCTATTACACAGGATTTAAGATTCAATAATTTTATTGCTTCTGCAGCCAACTAGTGCTTTTATATATTAAACATATTTTATTTTAATTATTTTATTTTATTCCTTTTGGCAATCAGAAAATACAAAAATACATTACAAAAGAAGTAAAACAAAAAACAGAACAGATTGCAAGAAAAAATAACAAGGCAATAAAGAAAACCCAAATCAGTGCCAAGGAATAGCAAAAGCGGCAGAGCCACTGTCACCCAAAAGGATGTTTTATTCTGTTCAAAAAATAATTGAATGAAAAAGAAAATTATATAATTAATAATTACATCAAAACTACACATTAATTAAAATTATTTTATTATAATAAATTTAATAAATGACATTAGGGGATTTGTAATTTTTAAAGTAAGGTCTGCATGAAGACTATTTTAAGTTCAAACATTTTGAGTTTGGATAAAGTATTTTGAAGTGTGATGGAAATTGTATTAACTACCTGCTGTACCATAGATTATTTATAATTGATTTGTATTGATGTCGTTATTGATTTATTGACTAAATAAATGATTGACTGACTGGTTGATTGATTCAACTCTTCCACAGTCTTTGTGTGCTCAGAATGCTCTTGAACGTAAAGATGAGGAAAACATGTGCGATCACCTGATCACAGCAGCCAGGAGGAGAGACTACATCTATGCAATGCAGGCTCTGCAGAAGGCACTTGACATGTTGAGGACCAAACATGGAGCCTGGGGAAACCCAGACGAAAGGTAAGCTTTTGTTTACAATCACTTACTAACACTATAAAAGATATAAAGAAACTATTTTTATCTGTCTGACTAAGAAGAAAATATTTGTACAATTCATGTAATGTGCCCAAATACAGGCATGATATGATATCATTATGTCCATATTTGGATGTGATATGACCATGGACCTACTGTATTAATAATTTCCATGATATGACATCACAACGCCCATATATGGGCAAATCACGTAAATTTGCCACATGTGGGTAAAGCTTTGTACATATTCCAACAAATTATGTAGTTTTCAACGTCTGTCTTCATCAAAGTCTGAACAGACATTGTAAAATCTGCCAGACAATAATTTGATAGTGCCCCCTCCCCCTTAGAATAGTAAATTTATTTGTTGGTATGCTTTATATTTTGGAACATGAAGCTATAATCAACAGTATAATTGTTTTCATGTCTATATTTTTTTATTCCGTAATTTTAGCCCACTAGAATTCTACAAGTTAGATATGTGGGAAGATAATTCCCGGCGTCATCGCCGTCTTATCCGCAATTCTGAGGGATCCCATCATGAGGAAGCAGCGTTGAGGGCAGCTATTGAACATTGTAAGTCCGCAAAGCAACTTTTCTTGTTCTGTCACTGACAACTGTTAATCCCGACATATACTGTAGATATTGAGCTATTAATCTTGACAAACAAATGCAACATTATATTGAATTCCTTACTATTAAATTTTCTTTGACAATATACACTCACATACTGTATATAGTCACAATGTGCCTATATATGGTCATGATGTGATGTCATCATGACCATATTTAGGCATGTCACATGTTTTTGTCAGATATAATTTGATAGTCTGGACAGGGTTTAACATGTTTGTATATCCCAAATAAAAAGGGTTTCATCATACCTAATTGAATACAGTACTAATTTATCTGAGTGTTTTCTGTTATGTTATACTTTAGAAATAACTTAATTTTACAACAAACAGTATTGTATTTGCTTTGAAATGTTTTCAGTACATTTATTGATTCAGAATTAAAGCCACAAGTCACCTAAATGTTGATAATTCAGTTCAATTTCAATTCAATTTAAAAAAAAGTTCAAGTGTTAAAATTTGATTAAATTCGGATAAAATTTGATTAAATTTGTTGATTTATGTGTGATGATGTTTTTATGTTTTCAGCCCAACCTGAAGATATTGTTGAGAAGGCTAAGCAAGCCCTGCATGCCCAGCTGGCAGCAAAGAGGCCAAACCTGCAACAAAAGGAAGGGGAGGAAGAAGCCTTGAACCCAGAAGACAAAGATCTAGATGTTGAGAGTGAACTTGAAGGTATAAACTAAACACTATTGCAATCACGTTCTTACCTGGTCTCTTTCCATTACAAAACAAAGCTGGCCCAAGACATGGGATTTCTGGGGTGGTTAGGCCTGGGGAACAAAACTGTTTTTTTGGTTATGATCACCAAATATTGGCCTAGGGTGGCATAATATAGTAATAATTAGATAGATATTGAATTACAAATCAATAAAATAATACTTTGATTATAATTTATGATACGTTGGTGTACGAAGGCAGACGTGTTTTTCGAAAATTTCTATTAACATTTTCTATAATTATTTTATTGCAGATGCAAAAAATATATAATATTTTGTATTAATAAATAAGTAAATGTTATATTTGAGAGAATACAGGTTTATTGCTACTATGTATATGAGGCATGTTGTGGCAAAATGGCTAAGTTGTAGCAAAAAATGAAATTCAAGTTATTGGTATTTTCAGATACCTGAGTATGTGATCTTTAAAATGAGGGGTCATTCATTGAAATTGGTCATTTTAAGCTTAAGTTATTGGAAAATGAAAGTACAGTACTTTTAGAATCAAGATAAACAGGATTTTGAGTAATTGCCTTTCAAAGTTATTTGTGCATACACTGTTTAATAGAATGAACTATAAAAATAACATTAAATAATTTCTTGACCACTTCCAGAACTAATACTTTGGTACATGATAATAAGACATTAATCTGTTGATTTATAATGAAAAATAAATTTGGATTTTTAGGCAATTTTTTGAGCTCCCATATTATATAGCTCATTTACTCAATACAGGCCTGTGCGACAACGCGACCATTTCGCCACGACATGCCTCGTATGAGGCTTGCCATTCTAAAATCAGCAAACTCTTGCTAATTGTTAAACTGAGCATAAGAATGTGACAGTATTGTATACCTTAATACAGAGAAGCCATCATACTTTTTCTTATAGCTTTTCCAATAGTAAGTTGATTCTAGTAAATAACATTTTAAAGCTTACGATGTCCAGAATAAGAATATATTAAAAAGTGAATTTTCATTATTTGGTTACTGTTGCCGGATAGCAAGCCTCATATATTATTTATTTTTTATATTATTGTTGTAACATTTCAACATTTTTTTTTTTTTTAAAGGTGCTATTGTTTATAGTACAAAGTGTTCCTTGGTTGCTCCCTGCGTGGTGGTGAAAGGAACATTATCCATCACCTCCTCCGAGGTTTACTTTGAAGTAGATGAGGATGATGACCAGTATAAGCAGATGGATTCTAAGGTAAGAGTTACAATTCATCTATTCTTGTCATTTTTTATTTTAGGGGTTGGGGGCGGTACAGTCACTTTCCATGTAAATCAGATGTTATGCTATATTTCTGGATTTTATAGCAGCTAAGGGTAGGGAACATTGTGAGCAGCTGGGGGTGGGGGACCCATGAGCAGAGGATTCTCAAAGTTGCTGAGGGTAATGCATTATCCGTGTGGCGTAACATCCAGGCAGCTTCGGGTCGAGGACAAGTAAGCAGCTGAAGGTAGGGATACCTAGTAAACTGTGGGTGAAGATACTTGAGCCCCTGTGGGTGGGGATACTTGATGAACTGGAAGTGGGGACAACTTGTCACATCTAAACACAACAGTGACCCTAATCAACACTATTGTTAGCCAACAGAATTTAACAAGACAATGTATATAGTGTGTAACAATGAGGCACTGATTAACTATCTAAAGTGAGTTATTACTTAAATTATTGGAGACTAAGTCTAATGCCCTATCATAAAAAATAAACCACGACAAAAATAGCATTGAAAGCGAAGAGTGTGTACAGTTCATGTTAATTGATACAATCTGTTGAACTTAAGCAAACAAGCTCAGAATTAAGTCCGTACTCATGTGACCTTCTAGGTCATAACTTTGGTTTATGTCAAGGATGTGTTATGTGTGGACCATCATGATGACTAACTATATACACTGTGCCTACGCAACGGTTGGAATATGTTTTTTACATTTTATAAAACTTAAACGCGAATAAATTTTATTTGATATGAATATGAATAAAAAGCTATACTTCACTGTAATCATTGCAGAGTATATCTTTTGTTGTGGATGGGATTGTTGGGGTTAATTACAAATCTTGTTTGTTTATTAATCACATTATGATATTGTGATAGTGTTAGCAACCTACCTTGTACTTGGCACAACTTTCACCAGCTGTTGTTGATCTAATGACAGAAGAATAAAAGGAAAGCGCTGTCTCGGTTCCACAAGGTCTCCCCGAACATCGCTAAAGAATTTCAAATTTATGATCGCTTGCGACGAGGAAAAGGGTAAAAAAAAAATATTTTCAATCCAGGCCATCACTTCTTTCAGTAATAATTTAGTTTGATTAGATTCAATCGTGAAAGAGTCATTATTCAAAGGTTTATGGTAAAGAGTTCAGTGATGACTAAATTATTCGCGTTCATTGCTCTTAATGTTTTTTCTTTCTGTTTCTCCCCCTTCACCTAATTTTGAAATTTATAGAACAGCAGTGCGCTTTTTTTTGGCCCATGTTAAGGTTTAAAATATCCAATGTATCGGTCATTGTTAAATTATTGCAATTATAAAAATACTTGAAAATTGGTCTTTATGTTTTTTCTTTTTTCTTCCTTCACCTAATTTTAAAGATTTTAGAACAGCGGTGAGCCTTTTTTTTTAACCCGTGTTAGGGTTTAAGACATCCAATTTACAGGTCATTGTTTAAATATTTCAATTATAAAAATACTTGAAAATTGCTCTTTATGTTTTTTCTTTTTTCTTCCTTCACCTAATTTTAAAATTTTTAGAACAGCAATGAGCTATTTCTTTGGCCCTTTCTAAGGTTCAAAACAGCCAGAGTACATGCCATTGTAATTATTCCAATGATAAAAATACTTGAAAATTGTCTTAATTTTTGAAATAAATACCAACTATAAGTTTGGTGAAATAATGAAACTACAAATACAGGTCTCTGTCTAATGAAAGACCCCAATTACAGACCACTTTTCTGTGGTCAAAAATTAATAAATGTCTTTTTTTCATTACTCTAATTAGACACCAATCCTACTAAACACCATGAAATGGACTCAATGATTACAACTGAGTAGCACTGAATTTTATTTTGCCTAATGCTGTAACTGTACTTGTTTTCATGGACTGCACACTTAAGCGGTGAACTTACAATAATATTGTCACCCCAAATGAATGGACTCAATGATTACAGCTGAGTAGAACCAGACAGCATTACACCAAAACCTTAATCCACTTTCCCACGGCTAATTCAATAACCGAGCCACAAATTTTTAGGTTTGAAACCCAGATTTTAGAAGGTTGAATACATAATATACTTAGTAAACTTATTCTATCTCAATAAGATTTTGATTTATTACCGCGCAACCTGCATTCATATTTTGGCCGGGATGCCAAGCGTTGTTGTTTCAGATTGCATTTGTCGTGGTTTATCGAGAGATTTACAGTATGTTGCTTCACATAGTTCATTCACTACGCATTGTCTGATAAATTGTGTTGGTGAAATTTCCAAAACTGGATATTCTTGATCCTGAAAAATTTACCTTGAATATGAAAAATTCTTTTCTTAGTACTCAAATGCAGATATCATGTGGTTGATTTATGTATTGATGGTGAAAATTCTCATTTATATTTGTATATGTCATGTTTTATATGTTTACAGTACATTCCAGCAGATGTTATAAAATACTTGTACAATGTTACAGTGTTATATTTTTGAAATGTTTTTATGAAATACATTAGTGTGTTGCACTTTTATATTTTGAATTTTTATTTATGTGTGTCCACTCCATTCCTTCTAAATCTACTTCAGTACTCCTGTGATGGCGATAAACAAATTGTTTACCAATTTAGCGATTCAAATCCAAATTTGCCGTAAATTTAACTTTTAGTATTTTCCAGAAATAGTCAATTATGAATAAACAATAATTGAAATTTTCAACTTCTTTAACAGTCTGCAAATCTTAATATTATGCAAGTTTTTTTTTCTTCTTGTGATTTACTTAATATGTACGGGGTCAGTTCCAGTTTGTTTCTCGTAGTTGTGTTCTGGCTTCCATTTTCAACTTCTTGTTTACATTTTATGTCTGTTCCTCAGTAAATGATTTCTTGAAGGCATGTATATTTAAAGGTATGGTGTGTAAACTTCCATAGAACTTAATTCATTCTTTTAAAAAGTGAGAAACAATATTGTAAAGTGTTTTACCAAATGGCCGATGCTGTAACTTTAAGTGTTGGGTATGTTATTGTATTATAATTGATGTCTCTAGGCCATGTCCTATGGGTTCTCTACTGCATTCCTAGTGGCCATTAGGGGTATAATTTTATTATTAATCTTGATTTATTAGGCACAAGATAACACTATCATCGTACCCCTCATCTGTATTCCAGTTGCAAACATCTTAATATTTGGAGGGAGTTTGAAAGCTCTTTGGTATTTAGCTCTCCCACTATTGTAAATTAGAATTAACATTAATTTTTTTATATATTTATACGTTTATTTTAATATTAATTTTAAATCAATCAGGAAGGTCCACGGATTAATCTCAGATAAGGAAGTATAATACATACTCAGTGTATTGAAATGCACGCCATCATTTTGGGATTCAATATTCCAGCATCAATTATGTCATCATAATAACCAGTACAGTGCCTAATAAGAAATGGTCTAGCGACAATAAATTAATTTAATTTAATATATGTAATTTTACAGCAAAAATACAGATTTTTATTTTTCTTATGGGACAATCAAATTTAAAGATAATTTAAATATTTACTTATGTTAACCATTGAAAAACCGCAGCTGACCGTAGAAATGATTTCAATGGCCAATTCTTCCTAATACCAATTATCTTGTTTTGCGGTAATCTCTCATCCTTGCAGTTAGCACAGGGGGTTTCGCAAACCCACCTTGGCGTAGCTTTTAGCCACCATTCAAAAAACCGCAGCTGACCCATAGAAATTATTTTAATGGCCATTTCTTCCTAACACCAATTATCTCAATTGCTTTTGCGGTAATCCCCCATCCTTGAGGTTAGCGCAAGGGGTTTCGCAAACCCACCTAGGCGTAGGTTTTAGCCACCGTTGAAGGTTGCGGTGTAGGGGCAGTTGACAGGCTGTGAGCATGTAACGGGCCCCCTGGCTTGGGAACAAGTCTAAAGCCTTGTGTGGCCGCCGGCACCGGGGGAATTCACATCCTTGCTTGGAATTTTACAATCCTGTCACACCCGGTTAGATCAAATAGTGTTCGTACATAAGCTGAGATTAACAACAAGGTTCAAACCTAACAGAAAGTGCATGTAACATTTTTAGTATGTATATCCGCGACACACTGGCACCAATAATAACCAAGTTATTTATTGCCTGTTTTATAGAATTTTAAATAAACCTTGGCACCATAACTGTATTATAGTCCTTGGTTTTTTTCTTTCTTAGGAAAGTTTGGTTAATTTTATTCCTTTTTTTTGTAAGTGAATCATTTCATATTATTTAGGCTATTCACATTTTTTGTAGTTTTATTATTATTGTTCTGAATGATTTTAAGTGTTTAGCTGATTAGTTATTGAATCTTCCACCTTGACCATGATTTCTTAATCTTTATATGATCTTCAACGAAATAATAATGGTAATGTAGATTGCTGCTTGGACCTTTTAAAATTTGAAATATAATATATCAAAAAAGATTCAGGAAAAAAAAATCAAATAATTGTTATATATGTTATATTGTTATATTGTTATTGTTTTATATGAATCACAATTTCTATTTTCAAGGGTAAAAATAATTTTATGATTTATAAAGACATGTAGCAAGTTATACTAGTGTTAAAGTTTTAAGAAGAACTAATGAGATACTTTGTTAACTAACAAATAAGTTGAAATCATTATCTCTTCCCGGTAGCTTCATTAGTCAAATATTAAAAGTGATTTTGCAAGTGAAAAATCATACACCTACCACCTCTCTCCCATCCCCTCACCAATTTTGTTTTCAGTATAAGGTAAGTGTAAATTAAGTAGATGGTTCTCTCTGATAAAAAAAGAGAAACTGAAGTAAGAAGAAAAAAATAAGAAGCATTGGTAAGTACAGGCCGCGGAACAATTTGGAAGAAAATTTATTAATAATTGAAAAAAAGAAAAGTGTGAGCAAGGCCATATATATTTGCGCATAGCAGTCTTTCGTATTTTAGTGAAAGTTCATATTTTTTATGGAATTTTTTTTATCAAATTTTAAAATTGTTACTCTACCACCTGCTGTTGAAGGTTACAAAAATGGATCATAATGTCAAAAATAAAGCTACTGTATATAATTATTTTATTGAAATTTCTTCACTCATTTTTTTAAAGTTTTATCTTACAAAGTAAATTGCTTAAAATTTACTGAGGATATTTTATGAGCTTTCTATTAATTTTATTAAACAATTATATATAATTATTGTTCAGTTTAGTTTTCTTTAGGCCTATTGGCAAATATCATGAAATTGCACTATTCAGAAAAATTCGGAATACAAGCACAAACACTACAACGAAGTCAGAGCAATACAAAACATCAAACTACGAGAAATGTAACTTGGGAAAATAATATTACAGTTTATTTTAATATTATTAATAATAATATGATTGTTTCGTGTTGATTACATATATCTGTATCTCTGGATTACAGGAGATTTCGTGGTAAACCAAATAGCGCCACCTATAATCC